GAAGTCACATAAAGGGATCTGAACAATTAACTCTTAAAGTAACATACATGGTAGTACTCTAGCCACTTGAAAACAGAGGGTTGTAAATCAGTTGATTGCAGTGTTCTAGAACATTGTTGGTATCTTTGTCCCTGTGTCTGTCTTATTCCTGTCTCCATGTTGAGAGAACCTGAAGATTAAAGTTTTGAAATTAGTAAAAATTTAAATAAAGTGCTTACGTCTAAGGCCCAATGGCATCGCTAGATCGGGTGTCACCCAAGTAACGAGGTTTATCTTTAGTCTGTTAATAATACAGTTGGAACTTGGATGTAGCAATGTTTTCTCTATAGTTAGTACTTTAGTACCTTTACGACATGGTATCACCCCCACCCTCTGGTAATAATTGTCAATTTGTACTTAAAAGACTATTTAACTTTAATTAATCATTAATGGGACTGGCAAAACAACATTTTTCTTCTGTATATTTTGCAATTTTTTGCCTTGGTGTCACCCCCTTAAATAGTGTCATCTGGTGCAGTCTGCACCCCCCACCCGTGCTATGCTAGCTAAGGCAAGGGTTATCAATAAAAATGTTATAAATAAAAAAAAAATATTAATAAATTAGAAATTAATTATTAATAATGTAATATTAATTATAATTCATTAGGCCTATTATTAAATTAATTAATAATAAAATACGCTCAACTGGAGGTGAACGTGAAACGGGGAATAAAATACGTTAAAATAGAGATGTAGATGTAGATCTAATTATTGTGTAATTTACTAATCAGTGCCAAGATCTATTTTATTTTCTACAAAAAGATCTAGAGATCTAGATATTTCCCACCAAATCAATTAATTATGTTTTCTGTTGGATCTAGTTTCGGTATCGTAAATTATTTAAGTAAAATAAACAACGATCTTAGCTGTTCGACTACTTAAAAATATTTCAGCGGGATTTTCGACAGTACGGCCAAGTTTAAAATATCTGTACTTTCGTTTCGACACTACGGGCTAATCCCGTAAATGAGCACAGTTGCATCTGTTGGAAACATCGCTAGTATTCATTTATTATTGAAAAGTTTTAATTCAATTGTTTGAAAACAGGTACATAAATGAAAAAAGGAAACATTTTTGTATTTTTCAAAACACAAATCCTCCTCAAAATGTGAAATAATTATGAAAATTTAAGGAGTCACCTGTTTTTCACATTACTAGTCGCGGGCGATTTTACGTACCCAAAACGATAGATTACCGGTCAATCTTTGTCTAGTTTCCAATAAAACGAAACGTTGCTAAGTTTAGCTTATGTAATAATCTAATGCATCTTCCTTCAACATCTAGCTAGACTGCTGCTAGAGTACTGCTAGACAGATCTAGATCTAGGATCTAGATTCTAGAATCTAGATCTAGATCAGTAAGATTACTAAGATTCAGGAAGAAGTTTGTAAGTTTGGTAATCTATCGTTTTAGGGCATTTTAGGAGGTACGTAAAATCAACCAAGGCTAGTAATGTGCGTGAAAGGGGCTCATTAATAGATCGTCTCCTGGCTGAGATGGCGGGATGACCTCTGACCCTGAAACGTCACTCGTCGTTTTTTGCGTTTTTTTTCGTTTTTTTAGGGGTCCGTTACACGACAAATGAAAAAACTGCTAATATCGCAAAATCTCATCATTATTTTAATGTGAGATGCTAACTAAATGGACGCCATGCCTTAAAATGTTCGAAATATTCACGAGATACGTGGTTTTAATTAATACACGCTATTTTTGTCGAGTACTCTTGGGAAAAACTGAACTGCCGCCTTAAACGGCCCAGTACATGGTCGAAACCCCCTGGTACAAATGCAGAAATATATAATTGAGATATTTATAATGATTAATTACAGATCTGTTGATACATTTTTAAAAAATCGAATATGAGGATGAGGTACCCATGCAGAAATTTCTGTCCGCTTTGTTTACTATCGTGACGTCATTGTTACGCTAGTTACCTCACAGAAACAACTAGTTTTTGTTTTTTGCGGAATGAACCTTAAAGTCTAGTATTTTAATTATAATTCAACTGTAGCGTGTGCAGAAAAAGTAAAATTGTGGAAATTATTATTGTATTAGTAATTTTATTAAAATATTAGTAGGGCCTATATTGATTTTTTTTTCTTCACTGTGGGCCGACAGTAGCTGCATTGAATTTAATTCGTGACCGGTGGTTAACCTCGTCAACGCTGCGTGGCCTATTCGTTTATATAATCAGTGATGCTCGTTCAGTGGCCTTTTTCAGAGCTAGGCCTAATTTCGGGCGATTTTTAGACTTATTTGATAGGCCGTTAGCCTTTTTCATTGCTGCGTATTTTAAACAATGCTTGTTCAGCGGTCTTTTTTTTTTGGCGCTAAATAATCTGTTTAGGGGCATTTTAAGCGTTTATGTGTTTATTATTTTTAAAGCTAGACGTAGATCTAATTAAAAAAAATGTGCGCGAGCATCATTTTCGTCTGTTAAAATTACAATTGGTTTAAGTTCAGGATGGAGATCTTTTATCGTTTTTTTTTTCTTGACAGATTTTATCAAGATAGATCGACTTCAAGTTGATATTGAATATTTAAATTACTTTACCTTACTACATTAAACTACATTTGCTTTATCTTTTAAGAGAGTAGACAAAAAAAAATTAAGCTAAGTTTTAAAATTAGTCTTAGTTTTGTATCCATTCGGCCCTACTCTATTATAATTTGCTTGAAGAAGGGGGGGGGGAAGAGAGAGAGAAGTGAAGACACCGACGATCTCGTGTACGCGTGTTCATTCTATGACGTGTACTACAGGCCTGCTGACCGCACAGTGACCCCTCGACCGTGGTGGGATTTTTCACCCGCGGGATAGTAAACATAAGCAAGCAATCACGCGAGTGACGATGTTTGGAGATTTTATTAAAAAAAAAATTACACGTCACGTTTTCAATATGAAAAAAAAATGTAATGTAAAAAAAAAAAGACACTAATACCGTGTATGAACTTCAGCTTCCACACTGTTGACTCAATATAATGTGAATTGAGTGTAAAATGTAGGCCTATTTCTTGTATTTATAGACTATCATAACAATCATATTATTTTAAGCATATTTAATAAAATTAGAATTTGAAATAAAAATATTTTTTATGGTAATTTGAGTTATGCAAGTGTTCATTATTTCATAAAAAATGGTATGAATAACATGTAGAGTAGAATTTGTAATGTACATTTTCCTTTACCAATTTAATAAATAACTAGATCTAGTTTTATTATCAATCAGTTGGTTTTTTTTTTGTTATTTTCCGGTGAGTAAATAACCTAAGTTGACACACCCCTTAAAAAACTTGTGCACACCAGTTCACGACGTCATATCATGCCGGCAGGGATCTAGAACGTGGGTTTTGTCATTCATTTTCCATTCTAGACTAATTTTAAAATTCTCTCTTTTCTCGTCAACTGAGTAAGCTAGATATTTAAATGTGGTGTCAAATGTTCTCTTAAGGGGTAAGGAACTTAATAGTGTATTTGAAATAACAGAATATTTTATTTAAAAAAATCCATAATTAAACCTACTCATTAATAATTAATATAGCTTTAGCAGTAGTTTAGCCAGTAGGTAATCTATTGATTTAGGTACGTAAAATCAGCCGAGACTAGTAATGTGAAAAAAGTGACTAATTAAATTTTAGTAATTATTTCACATTTTTAGGAGGATTTATGTTTTGAAAGTTACAAAAATGTTTCAAAATTTCATGAATTATCTGTTTTTATTAATTTTAAACAGTTATATTAAATTAAAACTTCTCAGTTTTTTTTTGTAAAATTATAGAGATTCAGGGGAAACCACTCTAACTTATAGATGGCAGTTTTTTTACATAGTGTGATGACGCAAGGTTACGTCGGAGGTCAAGTAGGTAGAGGTTAGCAGAAACTGACTATAGTTGGTTGGTTGGAGAGACCAATGAAGGTGCTATAGCTGACCGGTCATGGGGGACAGTCAGCTGACCACTGGAGCATGGGTCTGCAGCTGGGCAGGCGGGGAGTTGATAGTTAGCCAGCGAAGAGGCAGAAGGTGTTAGGTATCGGTTAGAGACGGTCGTAATTATGTAGAGCTAGGGAACAGTTAGATAGTGTGAGGATTTGTCATGGAAGTGCATAGTTAGTAGTAGTAGTAGATAGCATACAGTATGAAAACAGTTAGATAGAAGTAGTGGTACAGTGTAAATTAGTTAGGTAGGAAGTTGATTATACATTTTTAATAAAGAACTTTATATTTTGACTTGAACTGTGAGTTGGATCTTTTCATCATATTCATCACCCCCTCTCACATTTGGGGTTACTGTTTATCCCCCTCACATATAGCTAATCTGATGAAAACATTGCAAATCTTTATTAATTAGTGAAAAGTTTTTATACAATTGTTTAAAAACAGGTGCATGAATAAAAGTTTGAAACATTTTTGTAACTCTTAAAGCATAGGCCTAAATCTTACTAAAAATGTGAAATAATTTTTAAAAATAGATGAGTCATCTTTTTTTACATTACTAGCCTCGGCCAATTTTACGTACCTAAAACGATAGATTACAGTTAGTTTCAAGTAGTAGATTCTAGATCTAGCCTAGATTCTAGAATCTAGTAGGGATTTTGGTAAAAAACAAATATCATCATATAAAAATTAAAAATGAACAAAATACAACAGCAAGTAAAATGAATATGTGAATATGCTCATTTATTCAGATATATCATATCTTATCACAAATAGCCAATGCAAAAAAAAAAAAATTCACCAAAAAAACTATTTGGGCTAGAAAGAAATTTTTTGTTGATTTGTTTTCATTTAGGTGAGTTCTACAAGAACATATCATTTTTATTTAAATATAAATAGTGAAAAAGTTAATAACTGCATATTTTTCTTGTTCTTATTAGTAATATTAGTATCACTTTTACATATTTTGTCAGATTTAAGTAATAATGCTGGATGTCATAATTTTTTTCTTCTTTTTTACTTCTAAAGCATTTTACAGAAAAGATTAGGCACAAAGACTCCATTGCAGAAAAAGTTACAACAACCTTTCGTGAAGGCTGCAAATCGCCCCATTCCACGAAAATTTGATGCTCGCCAAAAGCTTGGACCTAAAAACATACTGGATGCAAGAGACAAAATAATAATCAATAAAAAGAGTGGTGCTGGTGATGCTCGAAATAAAATAGTTCAAAAACAAGTTCAAAAGGGCACATTTGATGCACGATCATTATTACAGCGGCAGGCAAAGAAATCCAAACGAAGAGGAAAGAGAGTTGGAAATCTGGTATATACATCTCTTTTTTAGTTTTTAAGTTTTTAGTTTGTATTTCTGTTTTTTTTTATTTTGAAAAAGATCATTTTTATAAATATTTTTTTATGAATATTATTTTTTAGCCAACTGATGGACTTGTACAGTCTGGTGGTTTAATAACTAGAACAGTAAGTAAGCCTTCAGATACACATTTTTAGAGTAGTTTTCTAGTAGGTAATAATTTTTTATCAAAACCTTTTTGCAACAATTCATTTTTTTTATAACTTTATTTAGCCTATGCAATTTCTTATGTCACCAGTTGTCCAACCCTGGAGCTCAGGGTAAAGCTCAAGTTCAGGTCACTAGTAGTGGCCTCATTGTTACACGACCCATTCCTAGTACACAGGTTTCTATCTCAGGAAACTCATTGCAAGTTACCAAAAGAACAAGGGTATGTTATGTTTAGTTTTTTAAGAAATTTATTATCCAAATCAATGGGTAATGATATATTAAACTGACAGTTATTTGTTACATTTAAAGCAATGAAATAAATATAGTTTCTAAAGTAGAGAAAAATCATTTTGTAACCAATTTTGTTTTTGTGTTCTATAGCCTTTTGAAAGTGATTTGACTGATGCAGTTCCAATAATTCAAATCCGCAATGATCGCTACAGACAGCCAGCTCAACAGACAGTTGTCATTCATGCATCTCAGCCGTCTGGTTATTTATCTCAGTCTTCTGCCAAACATTCATCCTACCAATCATACAACCCACAGAACTATTCCTATAATGAACCTTCTTACCCAAGTCATCGATCTTATAAAGATTATGATGACCCACTGTACAACCCTGCATCCATAGCTACAGATGTCCCAAAAATACAAATTAGTAATATGAGGCCTGTTGAAACTTCTGCTATAAGACCAGTTACATATTCAGGAGACTTTTCTTCCCAAATAAGAGGACCGCCAGGAGCAGCTACAGTTTCCCAAGGTGCAAAATTGCCTCTGACAAAAACTGTGTTGCAGACAACAAAATTAACACCAACTGGTGTTAAGAGAAGGCAGGCTCAGCAGGAAGTGGCAGGTCCATTGAGATTAGGAAAAGGTGGTGGTCCTGGCATAGAGATGGGTACTGGTGAACCTTCATTTAGCAAAAAAGCCAAAGTCATCCCATTAGTAAGTGACTTGGATATTGAGGAGGTAAGAAATATGAATTAAATTTAAACTTGTTTAATTGATGTTCATTTGCTTTAAAAAAAATCTTTGTTTTTTTAATGCACACTTAGCTTAATTGAGTATTATAAATATTTTGGTTTTGTGTGTATATATTGTGGTTAACCCTTAAAGCGTGCCAAGCGACGATTGTGGCTTTGCTTTAAGGGTTAAAGACGTAATAGTTGAGTAAAAATATTCAAGGGAACTTATTTCCTGACAAATATCTGCTAAAATATGATCATAGCTCAAAAACGCTGAGAAGAAAACTGCAATATTTTCAAAGATGAATTGAAAGGCACAATAAAACAAATTTGAATTCAAATGTTAATTGTAACAATTATGATGCTCTTCAGTTACAGGATGACAGATCAGAAATTATAAGTCCACTCCAGGGGTTCCGTGTGATGGTGACAAATTTATTTTCTGGTGTAACACAAGATGATATCATTGTATGTTTTCTTATTTTTGTACACAATATTTTCATTGTAATTATCTCTGCTAAGAACCAGATTCATTTATTGTTTAAAGGTATTAAATTCTAATTAAAATTTTTAAAATATAATTTAATCAGGATTTCTGAAAAAAAAATTAACCAAATTTTTATTTAACTAGGAGCTTTTTGGTGCAGTTGGTCCTCTGAAAAAAGCCAAGCTGTTGAAGCCTGGTAATGCTGAAGTTGTGTATGTGAACAAAGAAGATGCCTTGAGTGCTATTCAAAAATATCACAGTAGAGAATTGGATGGTAAGTTTTGTATTTTCCATTACAACTACAATTGCAACATATATTTACTAGGTTAATACAAGTATAAAACTTTACAACACAATAGTCCCTTTGCTTTGTATGGCCATAGATTAACTTTTTTGTTATTTGTAAAGGACAACCCATGTACGTAAAAATGACAACACCAATAGCAGCAGTGGTAAAAAAAGCTGTCGGAGATGTTGACCCTGACATTACTGGAGAAGCTTTAAGGTAATTTTCTTACCTTTATTTACCTAATAGTATCTTCTTGATCACCTTAAATTTTGTTAGAAATTTTTTAATTTAATTTTTCTTTCAGATTATACAAGAAAGGCAGTGGCATTGGATCATTGCCAGAAGCGGCAGTTGAAACAGCCACAATTCATAGAGCATTGTTTAAAGCAGGGCCTCCTGGGCCAAATAAATCAGTTAGATTCACTGTCAAAATATAAATCCAGTTAAAGTAGGAAACCCCTTTTTTGTGGCTCAACATAACATATTGCAGAATAGTTTGACTCATTTAATGCAAAATGATACATTTGGCCAGGCTATAAACTCATGTTTTTAAATATTCTGTTTTAAGTATGTAAATATTAGCTGCAGTATAACAAGATGATAACTAAATACAATTTAAAATACATTGGAATTAATTTAGCTATACATTTTTTGTAAGTGTTGCTGTTAATAGTAAAGTAATAAGTTAAAATTTTATAAACAATATTCTCATTCCTGTCATGACGCAAACATTTTGATGAGGAACAATGTTTCTAACAATAATTGTGAATGATTTTTTTTTGGCGGGGTTATTACAGGGATTGTCTTTTAATTCAAGGTTTTAATTTTTAGGATCCCTTTTATGCTATCAATGGAAACATTTTATTTTCATTAAAGGATTTAAATTTAGATCACTTAATTGACTAAAGTCTCACTAAGTTTGAACTAAATTACCATTTTTTTTTTACAAGAAATGCAAAGTTTTAAATTAGTTTTATGCAATTTTCTATCAGTTAAAATTCACTTTAAATTTATAAGAAAGCAGTGTTTTGTTTATTTATACTATAATCAACTTAATATTAAAAATCTTTGAGTCATTTATTTTTTGTTTAACCCCTAATAATGTTAAAGTTAAACTAACACTTTTTAAAATAAATTATAGGTTTTGGTTTTTCTAGTGGTTTCTATTAGATCCTTTTGATTTATGGTATAAAAACGTGCTTGCTAGAGTACAGGGACCAGAAAAGCACAAGTGGAATCTTAATAAATCTGTTTTATTGCAGTAACAGTATTGTCATTTCTAAAGTAAATGCAATAAAGTTTATGAATATTTTTCAATCATTGTTCAGCACTTTTTTTTTTTTCTATGATTTTGCCTCAATGAATTTTGTAATCACACTGTGGTTACATTGCTTTACCCACATAGGGGTTGTCCAGATTAAGTGTAATCATTGCTATCTTAGGCAGAAAACTAAAATGACAAAAATACAGTTTTCTTGTTAACCGTGTGTTAGCAGGCATTCATTTAACAACAAAAATGATTTTTCATAGGTTTATTTAGTAGAAAAGCAGTAGTTAACCTAATCTCCAGAATAGTTAGAAACCAAATTCAGAATTCCAAAAATGCAACATAGTCACTACATAGTCTAATGAGCATGCAAATAATGGAATGCCAAATAAAAATGTCAAAGCTTTTCCATGAATTTTCTTGATAAACAAAATTTACATAATCCAATTTAACTAATAAAAAAACTTACTTTAGCAGTAAAATAATTACAGATTAAATCTATACAACATAGAAACACCTTTTTGAAACTCAATATGCAACCAATAAAACTATTAAAATAAAGTATTTTAAAATAAATTTCCAATCAATTAAATTACGTGTTATTTCAAACCATTGAAATAATTGAAACTTATTTGTTTTAATAATGTTGATTCTAGAAAGTTACAATTTTTGTTGGACTACTTCTGAGAATGTAGCAAGAGAATCAGAATCAAAATAAGAATGTCAGTACAAATGTTAAATTTTCTTTGTGCATTTCTGACAAAAAGAGGCATCCTGATACTAAATGGTTTAATAACCTTTATCCTTTTTAATTTAGACCATGTCTTTAATGTACTTATTTTATTATGGTTGCAAATTTAAATATAAAAACCAATTAAGCTTTTAGATCTGCTATTTATCATAATGTGAAGTAATTTGCATTATTTAAAAGTTAGGCTAAAACCTGCTAGTAGTTGAATATTATAGAAAGTAAAAGGTTAGAACTGGAACAATAAGTTAAAATAGTGGATTAGGTAAAGCTGAATTGTTATAAAATTTTTATTCTACTGTTTAAATTTATATACAGTATGGCTGAAATGTAATGTTCATTTAAAAAAAAAATCTCCAATCGAATCTAAATGTTGAGTGATTAGTACATATACCTTTTCAAATAGATTAAAACATATTAAAAATAGTTTTAAAATGTCAAAACAAAAAATTAAAAAAATGAACAATTACTTTTTTAACATAATAGCTACTTGAGAAAACTAAATGGAAAAAAAAAAACCCTTCCCTACCAAAAAGTAAATAAAAACAGGTCTTTACTAAAATCTATTTTGATAAACTGCTGTTAAATTATGATGATCCTATTATTAAATTTACAATTTGTATTATTAAAAAAAATGGAGGCCTACATGAGTTTAATATTATTAAAGCTTTGATAGATAAAAAGTTTTGCAAGCCTTACTCTGAGAATGAATGAATAAGCATCTGAAGTCCACAACCTAGAATACCTGAAGTAAAGCTAATTTTTCACAGCCTTTACAGTAATACTGGTCTGTCAAGTTTTACTCTCAACAAAATTTAATTAATAGAATTATTGGGAAAAAATTAAGAAATTATCCTTATTTTCACAACATTTGAATATGAAATGTTAAAAAAATGTTAAGAATTTAATCATAACTTTTAAGTACCAGTACAACCTTTATTAGTGCATTATTTACAGATGCCGGAACTAAGGTAGTAAGAGGAACAAATTTAATACAACTTTATTAAATCAGTGAGTGAATATAACACATTTGTAAAAGTTGTCAAATCTTACTCTTAGTGAATGCAGAGTAATTTTAAGAATGGACAATGCTGATTATCTTGAAAGTGAATTGAAAATTTAAAAATAGCCATTAAAATATCAGTTCATTACATTATGAAAAACAATTACCTTTTTAATAGCTAGAAACTAAAATTTAAAAATGAGCACCAAACAGAACCCAAGGCTTGGTATATCCTTTGTAAACAATGCATGAGTAATATAATTGCAGTATAGATCTAATTAATAATGTTGAAAAAATACCTTTAAAATACAAATATTTCATAAAAAAAAAAAAACAAAAAAAAAAAAATGATCACATTAAACAATGAAGTAAAAAAAGAATTTGAATTAGTTAAATATAAAAAACTGTATCAAATGTAAGTTCTGTTAAATTTGTGATGTCTATATGTAGGTAACATGCCTTGAAAATATCAACTTCAATTTAAAGATACCTTAGCGTCAAGTATAATTTTTTAAACAGCATTAACACTTTTTAAATCAACTGGGCAAGATATTTTATTTCATATTAATAGTTTGTTAACTTTAATTTTTAAAGAGTAAAATCATAATCAATGTTGATAATATATCAACACAGCTTCAGGTGGTAGTCTTTTATAAAACAAATGTTATATGATAAAATACATGAAAAAAAACCAAACAATATCAATTAACCAGCTGTACAATACAAACCACAACGATGAAAGGTTATTCAATCAGATACTATTCCTCTATATTTTTGGGAATAAACAAAACCCCAAGGTGTCACATAAGGATAAAAAACCTCTAATTAAAATGTTAAAGTAAATCAAACATCATGCCATTGTAAGGAGAAAATAAGACACAATAATACCAATAGAAAAATTAGATTAAAAAATGACATAACCATTCTAGTTTCAAGCAGGGCAAGCTTAACCTCAAAAATTACTTTTTATGTTATACTTGTGACCAGTGTTGATTGTATGATGGTAAAATAATCTTAGCTGCCATTAAGCATTGTTCATTGGTAATTTAAGCTATTAGAAAAATAATGAACAATTTAGTTTCAAGACTGTAACAAAATTTACAGGTCGATTAAACTTTGAAGCATAATTTCTAGTTAATTAAGCTTTAACTACACCTGGTAAGCCTTTTTTTAAACCTAGCAACAGTGTACAACTGGACCAATTTATCTTCATTTGTATTAATAAGTACTTATAATTAACTGGTAATCATAACATGTCAAAGTAAAAATAGTAAACATGTGAGTGCATTTACTGCAGCAAATATATACCTGGGTAACAAATATAATGTCAATACTTTCAACTACAAATTAAATATAGAAACGCCAACACATTGGCTACTATTATGTTAACAAGATGTTTTTAGAATGCAATGTTTGGTCCAACTCAACTTAATTGTCTGTCACATTACTTAGAGTGTTGTACCAAATGTAAATTATGCTTATTCTCAAATACTGTTTCCCCGGGGAATAATCAAGACCGGTAAATGGAATAAATTTGAGCATGCAAAAATTAGCAAAAATTGTATAAAATGTAACAAATTTACATTAAAATACCTTTAAAAAACTTTTATTATAAGTAGTGGGCTAATGCTTACAAAAACACTCTGTGGGGAAAATTTGATTTTTATCAAGTAAAGTAACAAAGGATGGAATCTGTTATACAAAATTTACATGAACAATGCTAAATTGAACAACTTAGAAGGAAACAAAGCCAAGCACCAACATTTTCACAAACTCAAATGTTGGTCAGTGCAAATAATGTATGAAAAAAAAAGTTAAAAAATATATAATGTCATTGCATTTGAAGAAAGGCAAATAAAATCAACAATAACAAAAAAACTCACAGTATAAAAAGTATTCTTAAATTTAATACAGATAAGTCAATATACAGTATCAACAATGTTATCCTTAAAAATAAACAGAATGTTAAACAAAATTTTTCCACTTAAAAACAAAGAGATAAATACAAAAAAAAAAACAAATAATTTCAATAAATTGTTCAATAACAAAAGAAAAATCATTTGTAGTTTTATAAATGTTTAAAAAATAATTTAACGGCCCTCATGTCTTTCATTGCTGTAAAAATACCTGGCTGATGCTGTAGATTGACTGGACCCATTTAAATGTTTATTATGAGCTGCCAGGTTTTATCTAGGGGTTTAATACAACATGCATAACATACAGAAGCAATGATTGTCAGCTTTTTCAATTTTCTTCATTTCAGTTATGTAATGTGATTTTTTAGGGTTTAAGAATATCTATGTTTTGTCAATAGAATTAGAGTACACTAAAATTTGCTCCAATTTTAAATACATTTATTTCACGCAAAGAATTCAACCATTATTGCTTAGTCTAATGAACTACTGCACAATATAGAAACTTAAAAGTGATTACAAATTGCAGAAGTTAATAATTGTTAATCAGTTAAATTACTGAAATAACATACTAACTTTTTTATATACTGTTACCAAAATACATAAAAAATTTGAGGCTGTAGTGAAACATTGACTTGTAAAGGTGTCACAAAGCTTTGAATAAAAAGACTTATGCCTTCCCATTGACTTTATCTTGAGGCAGTTTAATGCCAAACCCAGCCAAAATGTTGGAAGCAGGACCAGGCAAACCTTGCTGAGCCTTGTAGGATTCCAGGGTGTTTTTCACTACATTCAGGTCAATGTTGACAGGCCTGAAGTCATCATCCTCGTCCTCAATGTTTTTCTCTGATGCCTTACATTTGTTGGGCCCAACTGCAGGAGGTGGGGGTCTATTTGGTCTCTTTGGCTTGTTCTATAAACAAAATACATTAGTAGTTTAACAAGATGCCTATATTAAAAGTTCAAATACAAAAATCACACTTATCTTTGATCAATTGCTGTTAAATGCCTCTAGCTACTTAAAATGATAAAATTTACATTTATTGTTAAAATAAATATCTGAGGGCTAGTTGACCCAAAGCAGATAGATATTTTTTCTAAAAGTTTTTGTGGATCTTAACCTCCTCTAGTCACAGTGTAATAAACAAACACTCAAATTATAAGAAATTCTGTACATACTGGTTTAGGCATTCTCTCAAAACTTTTCCCAACTTCTGTCCCAGCAAGTTCTCTGTCCATTGCATCCATTAAGGCCACCAGTTTCTTGTCTTTTTTTGGCTCACCAGATGGAGGAGGAGGTGGCGGGGCAGATGGTTTTATTACAGCATTAGGCTTAGAAAGTGGTCGAGCTTTAGGGTCTCGTCTTGGTGGTCGTGTTGGGACAGGGGGTGGACTGACTGAGGGTCTTGTTACAGCTTTAGGAGGGTCAGATGTAGGTACTGGGGGCAGTGGGGAATCCATCTTAGCTGTATTAAATTTAACAAGGCTAGGTGGCCTTTCAGGTAATGGAGGGGGTTTTGACATTTCTGACACATTTGAGTAGTGTGTTGTACTAAAGCGTACAGATTTTTGTTGTACAGAAGGGTCTTTGCTTTTTGACTTGGACTTTGTTAGATTGCTTTTCTTTGCTGTGGACGGCATTTTAGTTGGTGACCCTAACTCATCACCTGACCCTTCAGACCAATCATATTCACTCATATCTGACCCTGATGAATCTTCTTCATCTGGAAAATCTGATAGAAAAATTTGTTATAATTAGTTACACAATCATGACAAATCCATTAGACGCCTTTAAAAAAAGAAAACTTACTAAATTAACTAACCTAATTTAAACATAAACAAACAACAAATTAAATGTTGCATTTAATAGGCATTAAATGTATATGGTGGAGATAATATAACATAATTTTTAAGTGCATAAATTATTATCAATTAGTATATATAATGTATCTACCAAATATTTTCTGCATCGCTTGAATAAGGCCACCACCTTCAAATTGACCATCACCATCCTCTGCAGACTCCCTAATAGCAAATCAATGTTTTGATTGAAATAGAAATCATTAACTAAAATTAACATATTGATCTAAGGACTACAAATTTAACTGTGAATTAATTAAAAAAAACTTACTTAGGAAATTCTGCACCATCTATTCCTGACTCATGTTCAACAAAGGATGACATGCTCTCTGCCACCTTTGAAAGATCAAATATGTCAGAAGAAGTAGATGACTTCATCATTTCATCAACTTGCTCTGGTGTCAGATTCATCCAGCTGTCATCTGCAAGAGTTTTTATCTTTCTTGTTTAATCTATTTCAAATTGAGCAACTTGTTCAAGGAATAATTGTAAGCCTAAATGAACAAGGAACTAAGCTTCAAAAAAAAATATTTTTCCCCAACATAAAATAAGGCATAAAAATTTACTTAGTTATTAAGCAATGATTGGGATTAAAATGACATACCATCTGAGGGTGGAAAACTTCTCTCTGCCTTTCTAAATTCATCAAACTTTGGCTCTAGCCTTTTTAAGTGACGTAGAACTATTTGACCAGTGCTTTCTGGATCCCTAGTAGAACAAAAAATGACAGCAAGTGAGCAAACACTACAGCTGAATATTTAAGTGTTATTAAGAAAAAATCTTAGTTTAAAAGATCATGTAATCCCATGCAAACTTACTCAGCTGTCATTTTAATTTGAACTTGGTAAAACTGTTTGGCTTCATCCAGCAATTTCTTGTACAACTTTGAGCCTTCAATCTCACCCTATATTAAATGACAAGAAGTTATGTAAAAAACTCAGCTCTCAATTGGTAATGTTTTTACTTAAGAAATTAGATAGATTATGTGAGAACACAGAATAAAGTAAGTGGTTGGGAACAGCTAAAAGACCATCAATACAAATAAACATGAAACAATTGTATTTTATAGATGTATTAGTGAAAAGAATAAAGAGATACAAATGTAAATTTACCCTGAAGAAACCTTTGCCTGCTAGAGATTTTTTGAATTGTAACCAACGTATACTGGACTCATCAAAATGTTCCCCATTAATAATAGTAGAATCAACATCTTGAAAACGTGAACACAGAATTTCAAAACCATGTGCCTAGATTTAAGAAAATAAAATTATAAATAAACTGAAATTGAAGTAGTAATACAACAATCCCTAATTAAAAACTCAGCTAGTTAATTCAATGAGTGTATGATCTTGGAGATGAGGAGTTCACATACTGACACAAAAATTCACAATGTAAACACTGTTCAGGCTAGTTAACCTAAACTTTAGTTGTCTATATGGGTCCACTTAGTGCCAGTATAAGACCCGGTACTGTGGCAGCACACAGTGCCCATTTAACAAGGTGGATCAGGAAGAAGGCTTGAAGTGCAGAATAAATAAGGAAATATACTTACCAATTTAACACCTATATCTCTCTCTAAAAACTCAGGACTAGAAGGGCTAACTACTGTCCAGCCACTTCTTTTATCAGCTGTAAACTGTTGCTGAGCCAGCTGAGCATATAAACATCTTGTCATTTTCACCTGTTGGAAGAATCATGATGCTTAAGATATACAATCTATGCTTTCTATGCTTTAGTTAACCAATATTGGCATAGGCACTGAGAAAGAAAATCTACTTACTCTAGTTTTGACAAGATCATCTGGTTTGAATCTCTTCATTGGCCGACAAGCCTGTTAACAGTTTAAAAAATGCAATAAATCCATGTGTGTTTGTGTATAAGCTTTTTTAAAGCTTATTTTTAATAAAAATTCGTAGCTGGATCTGCTTGTGTAAGTTAGAAAGCCACAAAACATGCAGCTCAATAAAATGTACAGCTCTCTTCATCCAAAATACAAACAACAGCCACACATATTAATTACAGTAATAAAAAAAAAACAAATCTGGCATTTGAATATAAACTTAACTATAAAAAAAATTAAAGGGCTCCTTAGTTTACTGAACAATTGGATCGTTATGCCTTGGAAATCTGAGTCAGATGTTGCTCATGTATCAGGCCCCCCTCTCTCCACACAGGAGAGGTGTTACCTAAACAACTTAAGGGCTTCACTCCTATTTGATTTCAGTTTTCTCTCCAAAATAGGTTGCTGTCCTCAGCTAACTATCCACATTTCCCAAGGGGTTCAAACTTGGGACTTTCTAGGTGAGCTTCAGTGCACTCTCGTCTCGATTGAGCCCATTCTAACTATAATTCCACAAATAATACGACTTAGATTTACCTTTAACTCTAAAGGTTCCCTGTAATAAAACGTCCTCACACCACCAGAAACAAGAGTTGGTTGGTCAGCTAACAGAACTGCTAAGGGTGTTGGCAGATAGCAATTGACATTATGGATATTTTCTGTTGTTTTCCGAGGAAAACTGCAATAAAAAAGTTTTTAAAAAATGATGTTTTTACATTATAACACATATCTGATTAAATGAAATTAGATTTCAATTTAAAAGAAACTAACCCTGACAATCTTTTGTTAATCAAGTTCTGCACGGCCTGGCTACATCTTGTATCACAAGTACAGTCCCTAACACAAGTCACAGCTTCTGTTAGGGTTGGTGTGAACAATGGAAATTTGGTAATTTCTTCAGGTGACTGAGGGATGGGGATAACATGAAGATCCCCATTATAAATATACACCTGCAAATAGCAATACAATACATACTTTATTTATTGTAGCTGATGCAATATGAGTTCAAAATCTTTTCTTTTTTATCTACTGTAATTTCATTACCCTGTTCTCAGCAGTTTCCGGATCAAGCCAAGAAGGTAGTCCATCAGCAGCTTCAATTAGCAAAAATTCTTCATCGTTGTCGTTTACTCTGTCAAATCAAAGTAATAAAGAAAAGAATTAGGATTAAAGTGTAAATATATACTATAAAAAATGGTCAGTCAAGTTTACTTTCATTAACAATAATGTAGAAGATTTTATCATATGTCATAATGAAGATTAAAAAGTATGTAATTTACAAAATTTCCACATAATAAAAAAAACAGCCTATTTTCTTACTTTATAACAGTCCCTGCAAACTCTTTTGTGATTTCATATAAGAGATATACAATAAACCACTCATCGTCAATATTATCTCCAAAACAAGTGCTGCCATACAGGTGAGGTGGAACAGATTCTATTACAAAAAATAATAACAGTTATTACTTATCAAGTGTTGTAGGTATTAACTATTTTTTGCTTATTTCTGCATGTTGTAAAAGTCACCATTTGCAGTAAGTTGACTTATCAATGGATTCTCAAAAAAATTCCTGTTATATCTCATTTACTCTAGTATTAGTTGTATGAAGTATATCCAATTACATTAGCTATTGACTTTTCTGCTTAAGCATACATTTGTTTGCAGACATACATTTACATTATAATCTTTTGATGAAGCACTGAAGAAAAGTGTAAACCAGGTTTTCATTCACCAAGTGTAAAATAAAGAGTGCTGATATTGATACACAAGGTTTCATTCTACTGCTCTAATTCTGTAAGGGCAATCTTATGGAAGAAAATTGAACACCAAGTCTTCCAAATAAGCATACTGATGATGTTTCTGTCATATTGCAAATGTCACGTGTAATTTTTTTTTGTTAGAATCTTTTTTACTTTCTCGTATATACGAAGTATAGAGAAAGTCTTGTAATCGTGCAAAAAAAAATAAAAAAAAATCGAGATTTGTTCGAGATTTTTACAAATCTCAACATTTTACACCTCACTGTTACGGAAAAACATAATTTTGCAATCTTGTCCGTGTGTCTGTGTGTCTGTCTGTCTGTCCGTGTGTAAACACGATAACTTGAGTACCGTTACAGCTAGGTTGATGAAATTTCACATATAAGTATTTTATCAAAATCGTAGATCCGTATCAACTTTTGAGCGATTTCCGATAACCGGAAGTGGTACTTTTCCTACTTTGAATTTTTCTAAAGCCTATAACTTGAGTACTATTTCAGATAGATAAATGAAATTTCACATGTAAGTAAAAGATCTAATTCTCTACCTTCTGTTACATTTTGAGTAATTTCCGTTGACTGGAAGTAGTACTTTACGCTACTTCTGATTTCTCAAAAAAACTAATGTAAATTTTAAAAGTACTAATAATATTGCGCACTATTATGCGCTTTTTTATTTGGCGTTCACTTGGTGTGCAATTAATTTGTCTACGAGATTTTATTCTATTTTTAAAACTTTAAGTATTTAAAATGGATTAAAAATCATGTCTATAGCCCGAGTTCCCATCCCCTGTTATATAAGAATATTCGAGAAAGTTTAGGGGAGATCACTCCCGGTTTATTTGATCTATTACAGTTTTAAAATTTACAAACATCGTCCTATGATGTTTAGAAGACCTATAGCATACATCAAAGAATAAACACAATTTATATTTGAGATCTTCGGCAACGTCACTTCTCATTTCTCCCTTTCTGAGCAAATTGAAAAATAGGCCTACTTTAGGTCATTTTTTATTTTTGTAATATCACATAGTACATACTATATAGGCTTATGGACTTAGATCTAGTTTGATCTAGTTAGAACTATCTGACCTATATACTGTACTGTCTTTTTACAAGGACTAGATCTAGATTCTATTCTATTCTTTTTTTAAAACCTGCGCCGACCTTTGGTGTTGAAATAAATTACTTTAACTTAATGTCAACATTAAATTGCTAAGAAGAAAAAAGAAAAAAATCGGGCAGTACAGATATATTTTTTTTTAGATCTAATTCGACCTAGAGTACAGATTTAGTTCATTGCAATTGCAGCCTAAAAAATGCGTACATTTTTCATTTAGTGAGGATCACTAATATTTATAGATAATAATATTAATCATATTCATATTGAGGTAACCCCCCTGTATAGTGTAGGACCTTATCCTGTAGGCTAATGCTTGTTGAATTTCGTAAATCATATTTTATTTGAACCTTGAAATAGTACATCGAGAGTATTAAATTATTAAATTAATGTTTATTTAACCTATTCAATCCCTGCCAGTCCGAAATGTAATATTCTGAAATCCCAGCCAAAGGGAAATGACTCCGCACTTTACAATGGTTGGTTCAGAAAAAAATTAATAACAACTCTATATTGCACCATAAATACAAGAAATAAAGTGCATTGTATTAAGCACTGATTGATCCACATGTAAGATTATCTTTGGAAAGTATCAACATTTATTGGAATTCATAGACCTAAATGTTCAACGAAATCCCGAAGCTGTGCCTCAGTCAAAGTTATTGACCTGTCTCGATCACTTCAATGAATTGTTCATTCGATCTTGGTCTACTAGAACTAGCATTGTCTTTATAACTAAAAATACACATTGCCACTTTCTTTATCATTTATCAATTCATAATCCACATCAATATCCTCATCCAAATGAGAGAAACCAGCGCCATGACTTATCAAACTTGTTAGAAAATTGAAAGCCATTCTAAAACTACAATATCTCCGGTATGGATCAATATTATTGTTATTAAATTTGTTAGTAATCTCACCTGGCCTCGTCTAGTCTCGCAGACGTGAGATTTCATTTTTATAGGCTACAGTTCCGTTGCTATATACCAGCGCCTGAGCAGTGTATTTTGCGGCCGGATTTGGCCGTTGCGGGATTGACGCGGTAGCGGCCGGATATGGCCGTTATGGGATTGAGTGGGTTAAACTTTAAAGTTTAATTGACATAAATAACATAAATAAATAAGATAATTGACAGAAATAATAAACAGCAGCTTTAAATTAGTAAATCTAAATAATAAAGTCAAGTTTAGTAATTAAATTAGTGTAATGTTTTTTTTAAGAATCACACTAGTTATCGTTAATAAATCATAACTTAGGCATTTTGATGAGAATTTCAGAATGATTTTTTTTATTAAAAATGTATCAATAATAGCAAGCACACTAGTAAACTAAGCCAATTTAACATATTTTAACTTTCTGTGCAAAGTCATTATTACTGAAAAAAATTCCAAAGTCAGGTCAGCCTGTGGCACCCTCCACTGAACTTGACTAAATGAAAAACATATTTGACCTGTGACCTTCATTATAACAGAATTTACTTTTTTAAAAAAAAAATAATTAGTAAACTAGTAAACATGTGCTTAATCTCTCCCAATAAGTAATAAAAATTTGAAAATTAATTTTAATTACTGTTGTGAGATAATCAGCTTAATAAACATGTGCTTTCTTGAGGGGGTGTGGCATAACTTTATATTTCTGTGTTTTATGACTACGAGCCGCTATTTAGATGTTTTATTTTCTACTTTACAGTAATTCATAATGTGTGAATTCAACAGTACCACTGCTGTCACTGAAAATATTTGCTTTAAAACACTATCAGTAAGTCGTTAAGGACGATACCCCCCCCCCCCCTGTGAAAGCAGCCTCCTCTCAGCTACCTCCCCTAAGTTTAAAATCGTTTCAAACTAAATTATCTGCCCCTAAATAGCCTTCACTAAACCCGGCTCTATGATTGTAAGCATTTAGCGTGAACCACAGCTCACCAGACTTCCTAGAGAGGAAGATAGGGGACTGCAAGGCGCGCTAACAGCTTGTTTTCTAACGTCTCCAAGAAGAGAATTATATATATAGATATTTGTATACAATCAGCATGCTATGCTTTTAAATTGATAAATGGTAAGTATACCAAGTTACAAAAAATGCAATCTAACTAAAAACGATCATCAATGAAGAAAGCGTAAACATTCTATTTTTAGGTGTGACAACATAAATCTAGCCAAATGATTGGATTATTGCGCGGCACACATTTTCCTGCGCCACTTTTCACAAAACAAGATTATAATAAAATAGCATTATTGGGGGGGGTGATCGTTTTCCCACGAACATATCTCATAAACCCCATAAATTATTACCAGTTAATTGTAATGTGTAAAATTAATACTTTAGAGTTTACTTAAACACAAGCTGGTTTACGTCCAAAGCAATATTTCAGAGTTATTTGATTTAAAAGACAAGAATACATAGACCTATTTTCACTTACACGTCGCTTGCGAGACAAAGAAATTAGGTAAAAAGTACATCTGGGAATTCTTAAATGGCCGATTCTAGCCGGAATAAGATACGCATGCGATACGCATGCGCAATGGAGAGAAACTACGACTTGCCTTAGCGGCGATGTTTTCGATGGTACTGCGTGTGTTTACAACCGCAGAACCCTAACACCAACCCTAATCCTAACCCTAACCCTAATCCTATCCCTAACCCTAGCCCTAATCCTATCCTTAACCCTCATTCTAGCCCTAACCCTAGCCATAGGTCACTGCGCATGCGCAGAGCTATCTTTTGCCGACTAAGTGGAGAGGTTGGGGAGAAAAATCTTCTTCCGAGTAGACACTTCGTTCTTAAATAAGGCAGGAAACAGATTAGTACCGGAAAATGCATATTCGATCTTCGCCGTTCATAAACTTTCTAACCAGACATCGTTCGGGGATTTTGTTTATACTGATAAATAGAGCTATGTTTTTACAAGCTTCGTTAGCAACATTTTTGTGGAATACGTTTTTTATGACATTTTGTGCCGCGGCGAAGGATGCGAAGTATGCAAATCTGGACGGAATGGATCTACTTGGAAAAGTACGTGTACTGCACTAATAAGGTAAGAAATACTATTTTGTAAAAATAACTATTATTTTTATGGATTTTTCATTAGAAATGATTGCTGTAAATTATGAAAGTAAAAAAAAAGTATATTTGAATGTGTTTTTTACTTTAATTTGAACAAAGTGAATGGCCATAATTACGACACATCGGCGTCGTTGAAAGCGGGGATTTCAGTTAATTTTTTACGGATATAAAATTGTATTTTTTTCCTCCGAGGCATGTACTTAAATAACAGTTTAGTTAAATGTATTTAATTCTGTAAAATATAAGTATTATTTTGCCGTAGATACTTTAAAAAATTTTTTTTATGATTTTCTGTCGGGGAAAATCGATATTCGCACCATGCACGCACACGTAGTAAAACTAGACTTATCTTTAAAACACGAGAATCTTGAGTACACTGCGAATAACAAAGTTTTTAAATTTTAGTTTACTTTTGACTTTAAGCCATTTGTTTTAAATCGAAATTAATTGATAATGTAATTATTTCAAAGTAAAATTTTTCCGTCTGATTGGGTTCTAATCTTCGCCCACTGAACCAGCTTACGCACGACATTCGCGCGAGTCTGTTTCTTCGCAATAGTCTGTATAGTGTCGAGGGCTAATTCTAAAAAGAATCGAGTCCTTACTAATCCAATGTTTATTAAAATTAGGTACAATTGTTGGAACGCATGAGAAATAACAAATTAATATTTCTTTAAATCTATAGCCAAAAGAAAGTAGAACTTTATAACTCTGTAAATTATGAATCGAGTGACGGCTGTCGTGAAAACGGGAGCCATTTTACTCTTTTTTTTAGGGTGACCTACTTTTATTATATAATTTTAAAATTCATCGATTTGATTAGCAGCTGAGTAGCTGACTACGCATGCGATATGGCTGGCACGTTTTGGGATAGGGATCGAGTACACCATAGAATATTTTTTTTCTTAGAACTAAGCGTATTTTTTTTTTAAATCAAAAGATACTTACATATCAGTTGTTGATTTCAATTTCATTATAGATCTAATCACTAACTTCAGTTTTTAAAAGTGATTTTGGATCTAGATCTAGCGTATTTTCAAAATTACGTAAATCTAGATCTATTTTTTAGATCTAGATCTACTTACTATTTGACAACCGTGTCAGTAAAATGAGGTCAGCGCTTCCAGATTTTTGGGTTTTAATTATGTTTGTCATTTTGATCTATTATAAGTAGCATTAAAACAACTGCATCTATTATCAACATTGTTTTTATATGCCAGTTCTAATTATACATTCTGTTCATTACCAATTCTAATGAAATCGTATCAGGCCCTAACAGTAACACCCTGTTCACCTACACTCCTACACTGACACTACACTTGAAAGACGCCACAGAGAGTCGTAACTTTAAATTAATGTTTAAAGTACTAAACAATTATAATTAGCCATGTAAATGCTGCAACTATATTAAAAATTGGCATATAGACATATTTTATTAATTATGTTTTTTATATAGACCTTCTATATTTAACTCTGTTATTTTTTTCTTCCCCAGAGTGTTTCTAAAAGCCAGAATTTTAAAGGGGAGGGCGGTCGTTTTTTTTCTCAAGAATAATTATAGAAATAAGCTATAAACTGGTATATTTTGTAAAGTTTGACACATTTACAAATAAATGTATGCCTAAGTGACATTTCTGTGTAATTATATTGTTAATTTTGTGAATTTCGTGGATTTTTAGACCTCACTACATTTAGATGTAAAAAAAAATCTCAGTTGAGTGAGTGTGGTTAATCTAAATTTTGAACGTGATGTAAATGTCTAGTGCTATTAATTTTTATATTTTTGAATTCCTCGATTGTTAAGCAACAAAATTGATATATAATATGTCAATAATTGTTACTTTGAAAATTGGCGAAAATCGACCCTAAAAGTAGATGCTTGAGGGTTGAATCTGTTTCCTGCCATAACAGAGACGACTGAAATAGAAACGGATAGTTACTATTTCAAAAATTAACGATGGCCTCGTAATCATTAGTTTTATCCCTCTACCTTTTAGTGAAAGCGAAACTGGTCACCATTTTAGTAAGTGCATGAGCCGTGAGATGCCACGAAAATTACAAACCCGGAAGCGTTGAATCGAACGGCCTACATAATTCATAAAATATTATTAAAAAAACTAGATATATTTTTATGACAGGCTAATCAGACTTAGGATCTATTTGATTTAGGTTATTCTACTTAATAAACTTGAGTTTAGATTAGATTCTAGATCTAAAAATAAAATCTAGATTTCTAGGTGCCAACCTACCTTTTTTTGACAAAACTGGTTTCAAATTGAAGGATTCGTGTTGCCAAATGTAATTAATAAGTCGTTTGCCTAAATGCGCCAAAATGATATCGACTTGCTTTTCAAGATAATTTTGCACCTGATTATCTACTAAATCACTGGGAACAGGAGGAAAAACACTATAATGGACTACATCTTCAGGCAGTCTCTTCATCACTTTGTCCAAGTCGGCCATCGTTCATGTTTTCCAATATAAACAAATGTTGTACAAGGATCTCACAACCATTCACAATTGATTGGTGAATAGACTCAATTAAAATATCGCATTTTAATTCGCATTTTTTTACTTTCTCGTATATACGAAGTATAGAGAAAGTATTGTAATCGTGCACAAAAATCACTTGAAATTTTAACTATTTTCACCGTATTACACCTCAGTCCTTCATCACATCCGAAGTATAGAGGACTTATTTTAATCGGGCAAAAATTATCAATCCAGATTTATCAAAATTAAAAGGTTTTATGCGTATTCCAGTCTGAAAAACTGGGCTTTGCAATTCTGTCCGTATGTCTGTGTGTGTGTGTGTCCGTGTGTAAACACGATAACTTGAGTACCGTTACAGCTAGGTTGATGAAATTTCATATATAAGTATTTTATCAAAATCGTAGATCCGTATCAACTTTTGAGCGATTTCGGATAACCGGAAGTGGTACTTTTTCTACTTTGAATTTTTCAAAAGCCTATAACTTGAGTACTATTTCAGATAGATAAATGAAATTTGATATGTAAGTAAAAGATCTAATTCTCTACCTTCTGTCAAATTTTGAGAATTTTTCGTTGACCGGAAGTAGTAATTTACGCTACTTCCAATTTCTCAAAAAACTAATGTAAATTTTAAAAGTACTAATAATATTGCGCACTATTATGCGCTTTTTTATTCGCGTTCACTTGGTGTGCAATTAATTTGTCTACGAGATTTTATTCTATTTTTAAAACTTTAAGTATTTAAAATGGATTAAAAATCATGTCTATAGCCCGAGTTCCCATCCCCTGTTATTTTATATAAGAATATTCGAGAAAGTTTAGGGGAGATCACTCCCGGTTTATTTAAACAATTATATTAACGTATTTTCCAAATAATAAACAAAATTAGTAAAATACATATTGAATTATAGGTTTAATATCATTTTAAATGTGCAATATTTTGTATTTCCACACGTTTATTCATTAAAAACATGCCCCTGTTTAAGTCAATCTGCTCAATATTTAAGAGAATTAAATAAATACGAGCCGACCCGCGGCATATCATACGCCGCTATTTAGTTGTTTTTTTTTCTACTTCTCAGTAATTCATAATCTGTGAATTCGACAGTACCAACGCTGCCACTGAAAATATTTCTTTAAAACACTATAAGTAGCTAGTTAAGGACGATAACCCCCCCCTCCTCCGTTAAAGTAAACTCCACTTAGTTACCCACCCCCCAAGTTTAAAATCGTTTCAAACTAAATTATCTGCCCCTAATAGTCGTCACTAAACCCGGCTTTGCTTGTAAACATTTAGAGTGAACCACAGCTCACCAGACCATGTAGGGGTGGGGGTGGTAGGGAGCGCGCTTACAGCTTGTTTTCTAGCGTCTCCCAGAAGAGAATTATATATATAGATATGGAGGCCTATTGGGCATCTCTACATGATGGTTGAGTATAAGCAGATCTACAGGGGCGAATCGCTGCTTTAGCAATGCGTAAATAAATAATATGATTAGGATAACCCAGGAATCTATACACGTTCATCAGCTATTCTTTGTCTTTGGAAACAGAAGGTGGATTCTTGACATTTCAGTTTTATCAAAAAATTCAATAGTCTTAACTTTACCTTATGCAGAGTTACCTTTAGCAACTTAATTTTGCCATAAAGATTGAAATGGTTATTAAATGACAAACACACACAAAAAAGTATACTACAAAAAAAACAAAACAATCATGAAAATAAAATATGTTATTTTATTATTTCAAGTGTGTAATTCTGAAGCCAGGGAAAACCCTTTCTTTTAAATTCTGTAGCGCTTAAGGATAAAGTTAACTCTTTAAAGACATCAGAACGTGATATCTGTAATGTAAATTGTATCACAATAATAGACATTTCTAAATCATCTTTGACAATATAGACAATAGTAAATCATATTTATGTATATATATATATAAATATATATATAAATATAAATATATATATATATATATATATATATATATATATATATATATATATATATATATATATATATATATATATATATATACAACATATATATATACACAACATATATATATATACATACACATAAAACACATAAAATATGTATATATATATATATATATATATATACACACACATATACACATAAATATATATATATATATATATATATATATATATATATATATATATATATATATATATATATATATATATAGATATAGATATAGATAGATATAAAGCTATAATTTGTGCCACTGTGTAGTACTTACTTCTATAAATCCTAATGATTGAAACAGATGCAGACTTGTAGTATTCTCAAACCCAATTTTACAAGTAAACAATGTTGTTTTTAATATATCTTGAGCTAAAAGTTGCACAGTAAAAAATTAATTTAATAAAGATGCAATAAAATATTTTATTAACAATTATTCATAAACCTGCAACAACACTAATTTGCTTTAACATAACATATTTTGATAAATAATAACATATTTAGTTTAGGACATTAAATGACAAATTTATTACCATATTTCATCACTAAACATACAGCCTCTTTACCCATACTTTTGCCTCTAGCAGAAGGTTCTGTTTTTAAAAAAAATGTCTTTATCAAAATCTGTTATTAATTTTAATGGTTTTGATTAAAAACTATATTGATTGAGTGAAATTTAATTAAATATAACTAAAAGTAATTATTTGTATTCTTTTTAAACAAGTAATATAATACAATTGAATCTTACTTCACAGATGCAGACTTGTAGTATTAACAGAAGACAGTGTGAAGTGAACTTTAAAAAATTGTATAACTTACCAGCTATCATAATCTCTACCTCACCTTCTGATCGATCATGTGAATTTGGTGTATAGAATATATTCACATCACCAATCATACATTCTGAGAATTAAATTTTTTTATTAAAAGCAAAAAAGAAACAAAATATCTAATATTATTCAACCATTATTACATTTTTCTGAAATTTTGAGAGATATTTTAAAAAAATACAATTTATGCTAAAAAGTATTTTACTTTGCTTTTGAAAGCTTTTGGGTTACAGTAAATGAGAGATCGATAATTTTGTTGCCAATCAACACAGTTAAATTAGTCATTAAATTTATTTTTAAGTTTATCAGACTTTGTAAATTTTAAAAGACATGGACAGAAAAAGTATTTACCTATTTCTTTTTTGGATGTCTCAGACAGACTGCTTGTAAGATAAGATTCTTTACTTAAAATAATAAATGTACACTCTGAAATAAAAACAAGATTGTACAGAATACCATTTTGACAATGATTACATTAATTGTCTTTTAAGCTTTCCCATTTGTCTGAAAAAAGTTATTACAGTCTTCTTCTTCTTCGTTCTTAATTTTTAGTGTTGGAAGGGATCAAGCCTTATCTGACAGAGGGTTGAACTCGAGACTTTTTTGAATTTATCAACCATGAGCTTTTGCCGACTCGATCACGCCTCCATCACAATTAAAGATGCGTGTCAACTGGTTATGTGCCATTGAGGCCATTGACTCCGATTTCAGCCTGCTTTTCTTTTTGGATTTGCTTCCATAGCCTTTGTTCAGCCAAGAACAAACTACAAGGCAGCAGTTGTTTGATTTTGGAGTTGTCTCTCCTAGAAGAGTGGCTGTCCCCAGCTAACGAGCCTCATCTGCCCGAATTATTAGTAATATTACAGTGACAAGATATATTTTAAAATATTTTAGGCAATGTTAAGAACCCAAGATTAACAAAATATATAACTGCTCTTGTGGAAGTACTGTTTACTTCTGCATTTCTGGTAAAGGCAGGAGAAATAGAAACAATGATTAGGTTACAGATTCATGAATGTTCTGTACATACTATCACAATCTTCTCTCCATTTCCTTTGCATTTCATATTCTTCTTCGAGGGACAGTCGTTCAGAAGCTGTGAGCTGTCGAAGCTCTTCAGACTCCATCCAACTATGATACCTGGAGAATAGGGGGGGTTACAATAATTTGAAAAAAATCGTAAAATTTACTGTTAAAACATGATTTAGTTAAATAAGTGAATAAGTAGATCTAGTATTCTAGCAGGGATAATGGGGGTGACAAAAATAGAAAAGTGACACCCTCAGTCACAGCATTGGGTGACACCAAACTCAGTAGGGTGGATTTCTTATATCGTCCGATAATGGGACAATAACAGAATCTTCTTAAAAAAGGTGTGTGCTGTCATCCATAAATGTTATTCTTTTTTACGATTCCCCCCCCCCCCCTCGTGTCAGTTAAAAAAACCCAGACCCTGAGCTCAGTCAACACAGAATATTTTAACGAATTTTACAATTTTCAAAAATAGTTTTCTGAAATGTGAAATAATGGCTAACATTCATTTTGTAACATCACTTTTTTATAATACAAAAGACATCACACTATCTGAAACCCCCTCCCACATCATCCCCCCCCCCCTGCGAGTGTGACATCATTTGTGGACCTGATAGTGATAGGTTCTTAATAGATCTAGATCTAGATCTAGATATAATAATATAAAACTTCTTACTAATGTGATTATTGGACATTGGTATCCTTTTTTTATTTTGTTTGTTAATTAATTATAATTATCAGGAATATTTTATTATAATTAATTATTTATATTACGTATCTAGATCTAGAATCTAGTTACAGTATTAAATAAATATAAATAAATATTTGATAGTATTAGTTTCCTACTTTTCAACGTGATAAATTTCATATGGTACCAATATGACTTTGGAACCAACTATTCTAACATTCTCATTTTCCTTCATCTTTAAAGCAGAAATAGATCTATAGGCCTACTTATAGTGAATAGTGTCTTATAATATATTAGTTATATTTATATAATATATAATATGAATCTAGATATCTAGATCTTGGCCTATCGTTAGTAATAAGTTAATATTAATAACTATAACACTTTCTAAGGAGAAACAAAAATTGTTTTAATAGCTAGATCTAACTTGTGTTAGCCTAGGCTAGGCTACATCATTTATCAAGCGCAACGTATAAAAGTAGAATCCGGAAAATCAGCGTGACCGTAAAGTAAACATTGGCATCTCAACTGTGAAGTTAATAAAGAATCTTTTAGAAATTTAGATTCTAGACCTAATCAAGATCTGAAATCTTGAAGTGTCTTAGACTATTCTTAGACTGTCTCTTTATTGTTGAAAATGCCTTTGGGGCTTACAATAAAAGATTACACAGGTAAGTAAGAGATATTTTAAAAATATTTTTAATTTTATTAGATCTCTCTAGTTTTAGCTTTAGCACTTAGATCTAGATCTAGTGTTTTACTTTTAGCCGTAGGCTTAGGCCGGTAATCTATCGTTTTGGGTACGTAAAATCGCCCGCGACTTGTAATGTGAAAAACAGGTGACTCCTTAAATTTTAATAATTATTTCACATTTTGAGGAGGATTTATGTTTTTTAAAATACAAAAATGGGTAATCTATCGTTTTGGGTACGTAAAATCGCCCGCGGCTATTAATGTACGAAAACGTTGAGGGGGGGTGCAAATCGAAAGTTTGAGGGGAGGGGGTGGTGCAAATAAAAAATTTGAAAGTTTGTCCCCGGGAAGGGTCGATATGCCTCTGGGGGGTGACACCATTAAGTGCCGCACCAGGTGACACCCGACCTTGCTATGCCACTGAAATAGGGCCTAAGTAATAAGAATTTGAAAATTAATTTTAATTAGTAATAATTAAAATTAGCCTAGTTAATTCTTAGGCCTAATTGTAAAGTGAGATAAACAGCTTAATAAACATGTGCTTTCTTGAGGGGGTGTGGCACATCGCAATTAGTCTATAACTTTATAGTTCTGTGTTTTATGACTACATTTGTACACAATCAGCATGCTATTAGGTATTCTAAATGAGCCGAAAAAAACGTACTGCGCGCAAAAAAATTTGGTCGGGTTGCGCCAACGCTCGGAGATCCGATACCATAATACATACGATTTCACTGAAAACTAATATAGAAAGTAGAATGGACGCCCTTTAAGATGATATGACTTTGCCCGCTGTAAAATATAATTTAATGCTAAAAATAATAGATTTAAAAGTTTCAAATGATTTTTTTACACGAAAAAAATATTTTACAGCCGGCAAAATTATATATTCAAATCGGGCGTCCAATTTACTATAAAAATGTTATAATTTAATTAACACTTTATGTATGGTATCGGATCGCAGAAATAAAAACGAACGCATACGTATCGTGATGACCCGCGCTAACTTTTGCCGGCTTAAATCTAGTTTTGCGTAATGTCACGGAACACCCCGCTCAAGTTCAAAGCAGGATTTTGTGTTTATTCGCGGATTACCATGGATTTTAAACAATGTCTAGGTAAGTTAAGTGCTTTATAAATTATTAGCTATATTCATTTTATTTATAATAAACTGCTGCTTTAAACCATTTGCATTTTAGTGTCCACTTATCGGTAATTGCTACACGCTTAAAAAAACATTTACCAAAAAATTATCTAGACCTTTTTAAAAGTTCTTTGTATTTAATTTACGATTACCAAAATAAAAAAGGAATGCACAATTAAATCAAAAAGATGTTTAAAAGAATGATAGAATTTAATTTGTATTCGTGAATTTTATTAATTACTAACATCGACCGATTAAACTATCAATATATTGTCGATATTTCAAGCCGCTTGTCGGCCATTTTTTTTTTTTTGCCTTCTCGTAATGTTGGATTCAACTATTATATTACGCAGGGTTAACAGCATACTTTCAATTTATTGTAGCATTGTTTATTTTGTTTTTCCTAGTTTAATAGTTAACAATTCTATATAATTGCAGTAATTACATTAAATTTTAGAATACTACGATCGTTAATGTTTCTTATCTCTAGGTTTATTGAACTGACGACATTAAAATAAAATGTAGCCCCCCTTCCATAATAGTTTAACCCAAAATTGTTTCTAGATCTACTTAGATTAGTTAGATTCACTATTGCTTTCATGTTAATATTTAGTGGTAGAACTATCTAAAGTGTTTACATTTAATATCTAAAAAAAAGCATTGAGCAGCCTTACTTTTAATATTATTCTATTTACAGAGCAAGATATTAGCAAAAGAAAGGGGAAACTGAAAGGCCTGTCAAAAATGTGTATTGTTTGTGTAAGCACCAACAGGACTACTGAATACTTTTGAAGGAAACCATATGTCAGATGTTAGTATTTTCTTCACTTTGCTTATTAGTTATAATGATGTAATGTTACATGATTGATATCTAAGTAGGTATAAAGATATACAGACCTACTATATAAGTCTGTATATTGGAATTGCTAATTAATTGTTTTTATTCACAGACATTTTCTATACTCTGGACCAATGGAAAGATCCCTTACTAGTTTCCATAATTTGATGTGTGATGCCAGTTCACAATAATTTATTACAATGCTACTCCAAACCTTGAAGAAGAAGACTAACTCAACCAAGATATTGACTATTAATTACAATGCTACCCAACCTCATAGAGAACTTTCCCAATCAGGATATTGACCTGTCTTTTTGAACCTGCTCTAAGATTTCTGATAATTGTATAAGTTAGGACCTAGACATTTCCAGAAGTTGACATTGATCAATAACTAACTAGAAGAAATAAATTTACTGATAACAAGTAAATTTAGGCTAAGCATGTCATGATTAGGGAGCAGAGTAACAAAACTAGATGAACATCACAAAGCTAACAGTTAGGATCATTTATAAAGAATTTTAGTTTAATTAGTCATCTTACTTCATCAGTGTTTAAAAGGCATGAAATTTCTTCTTAGTAAGTATATAAGTAAAGTAATAGTATAGTTATTTAATTTTTTATAACAAAGTAATGCTAACATGTTTCCTACACAATTTATATTACTTTTTGCAAGATGTTAGGTAATGAAAATTCTTGATTTTGGGCGTTAAGGAAGGATGCCTTATATTGTTTTGCAGAATGATTATTTTATGTTTCTGTGTTTATTATATATTAAGAACATCATGTGCTTTAAGATGGTGTAAAATTTATTAAGATACCTTACTTTAATATTTTTTAATCATTTTTTGAAAAAGGGTGAAATTTCTATTTTTTATAAACTGACCTTGCACAATCTGGTCTCGCTAATTACTTTCTTTATTAATTCTTTACCTGCTTATTTCATATTAACATGCTTTGAATTTCCTTTCTTAGAACATTTATATTATCAATGTGGCTTAATTAGTTGATTTTATATGATTTTTTAAAAATGACTGTAAATTGACTTTTTGTCTCCCTTTTCGTACTTTGGTAAAATTGTGCTTTGGCTCATTTTTAAGTGAATAAATTTTCCATTTATATCTGTCTGACAACCTTGAAAAAAATTGGGTTTGCTATTTGTATTACTGGCTGTGTGTGCAAGAAATTTGAGAGTTCTAACTTAGTAATTTTAGAAGTTAGTAGGGGTCTCAAATAGACCCTTTACTGCTCGAAAAGCGAACACATTTTTCGAGTTTTAAAAAATTCATAACTTTTTTAAAAATGGACATACATCAATAAATTTGGTGTTTCTGTTCTGATGAAAGCAATCCCTATCAGGTGGAAGTGTTAAATTTTATTTAATTTCATTATGAAAATTTCATTTAGAATACCTAATGCTATGCTTTTAAAATTGATAAAGGGTAAGTATACCAAGTTACAAAACCTGCAGTCTAACTTTCAGTTTAAAAAATAATAAAAACAATCATCATTGAAGAAAGCCTAAACATTCTATTTTTAGGTGTGACATAAAAAAAACAGGCATAAATCTAGCCAAATGATTGGATTCTTGCGCAGCACACATTTTCCCACACCTTGTTTTCACCAAAAAAATTATAATCAAATGGCAATTCTGGTTTTGATTATCAATAAAGGCCAGAAATTAACTTTAAACAGTAGTGTTTGCGAGCAAGAGTTGATATATAAACAGCCATCTATAAGTTAGAGTGGTTTCCCCTAAATCTCTAACTATAATTTTACAAAAAAAACTTTAACAAGATGGTTGCTAAAGTTAATGAGCTTGGCTGCATCTGATGAAAACATCGTTCATTTTTTACCTACTATAAAAACCTTTATAATAAAACCTTTATTAACAGGTAAATGACTGAATCTTTCAATCATTTTTGTAAGTTTTAAAGATGTATCCTCCTAAAAATGTGAAATAATTACTAAAATTTGTTGAGTCACCTTTCTTTCACATTACTAGCCCTGGACGATTTTACGTACCTAAAACGATAGAATACCAAAGTAGCAAATACAGAGAACTTGAAAATAATTTTTTTGAGTTTAACCCTCTTACTCTTAGCTTAGGGTGTTGCCTAAAATTTTATACGCAGTGTGCAATTTGGTGGCCCGGGCTATCCTGTGAGCGCTATGGCGCTTATGTTAGTTTTAAACAGTGCAGTAGACTATGGATAAGATGGGGTGTTATAGTCATTCACCAAATTGAATCAGGCGCATTCGCCGGCGCCCCGGCAGGGTGCTATTTGGTATCCTAGGTTATCCTGTGAGCACCATGGCGCCTACGTCAGTTTTAAGGAGCCAGGGGTAGTACACTCCACCCCTGCGGTAGTCTAATCAGGGGCTCCCTGAGCGTCTCTGTATGTATCTGACACCTGTGTGGTCACTAAAGTGTGTTCTACCTCACTTTTACTGTTAGTGATTATCGTGCACTCAAGGCTTTCATGCGGTAGTGTAGGCAAACCCATGCACGATAAATATGATCCAAGCGCAGGTAGTGTTTACATTTAAATAACTCACTTTTAGAAAACTAGGTCATGTGTGTAAGAACATATTAGTAATGCAATGATGAAACCTTCTTAAAATATTACGTCTTATTTTCTTCTATCCGACTCTAGCATTAAAATATTGCATTCTCATTAAGTAAGTTCCATGTTATTCTAAAAATAATTAAAATCACCTTGTCTAATTTTAATTTTAGCAATTCATTTTTATTTTTAGTAATTCAGTTAAAGACTAGAGAACGAAATCGTGCTACACACACTCTTTATCTTAAAGAGCATACTGCAGCGCAGCATTGTGTGGAATGGCCACAGGGGCGAACATTAATAGTCTATAATGTGCCTCCTTACTTCACAGAGGTAATTAATTAAAAAGACATTTTCAAACTTATTATTTAGCTATGTAATCTTTTTCTAATACTTTTAAAATTAAATTATTAATATAATTTATTACAAATTTCAGGAAAATTTGCAATCTTTATTTCAAAGTTGTGGAGTGATAACAAAAATGTACCTTCAATCGAAACCATCTTCAAGACCATTAAAGAATAAAATTTTTCAACAGGAAGGATTAAAAAAGGTACTATTAACAATAATTAAGCCAAACGAGCGTTTTTCTTTAGAAGAGAATATAATTATAATATATAAGTCTTGTTTGTGTTAGTATTGATGTATTGATAACATTTTGCATTTTACAGTCTGTTCAGGTAGCATATGTGGTATTCAAAAAAGCAACATCAGTAAAAACTGCTTGCTCCATTAACTATGACAATGTTCATCCTTTATGTGATAAAAATGTTACAGGCTTAAGGGGTAAGCTATCTTTGGTTTGAATTTCCTCCCTAATTAAAGTTACATTATGTTATAGTAAATACACCTCTTTATATTTTCTAGCAAATTGGTTGGTTTTGAATTCAAACATTGTCACTCAAACTTGACCCACTTTTAACTCTTTAAGACCGTAACGACACTCTAAGTGGTCGACAGGCCAGCCTGCCATACCGTAATGCTCCCAGTGTCCGATAATATTTTTTCTATTTAATTTGTTTTTCAGAATCCAAGTTTTTAATCATAAATCTAGGTCATGATAACACTAGAGCTGCCATTTTTCGCAGTATTTACTTCTTTTTTTGTCATTTTCTTGTTAGAATAATTTTTGTATTTTATAGAATTTTTTTGTAAAACAACTCTCAAAACGGCATTTTTTTAACACTGCAGAATGCCGTTCAGCAGGTGTTTACCAACGTTTATGTCGCCGCATTATAAAATTAACAAAAATTAGAATATTTATATTAAGACCAATCCGATCCATGATTTTTGTAGAAAAATGGACGTACAATATCTGATTTTCAAATTATTATTAAATATAAAATCATTCATTAAAAATGAATTAATAGATTACTTATTCAGTAACTTAGGGGGATATTTAACACTCTTAAAAGTTAAGTACTAGCTATTTCTCAATCAACCTAGAGGCCGAGGTGAGAAATATTTTTTACTCATGTTGGGTATCTATTTAACCCTCTGAACTCGCGGTGCCGCTTTATCTGTCAGTCTTAAATATTGTTGTTATATTCATAATATTGGAGTTTTGGTGTCTGTTGTGTGTTAATTTATCTCAGGGACATGGGGATTTTAGGTTCAGACGCTAAGGGTTCAAAGGGTTAAGAGTTTATGCACAGCAAAAAAAAAATCACCGAAATCTTGATTTTTGTCCATTTTTGTATAAAAAAAAAAATAACTAACTTAATAATGAGAAAACCTTTTAATGTGATTAAAATACAATATTTATAATCACATTAATTAAAAATATTTTCCCAATCTTACTTGCTCTCTACGAAAAGTTTAATATTGGTCATCATATTGTATTTGGCATAATAGGAAAGCTGGTTTTCCCATGTATCTGATAATAATATTTTCCGTTATCTAAAACACATCCATTGGCTTTACACAGTGATGGTAATTTTGTGACATACTTTTCGTGACATATTTTCTTTATTTGTTCTTTATGTAATATAAAACTTTGTCACCAAGGAATTGTGATGGCTTTAACTTAAATAGCAAAACAGTTTATGGTAAAAAATTTACAATTTTTTTAACTTATGCATACTAAAATTGAATACAGTGCAGTTTTTTGGACCTTGTAGAATTCTGACCAGTAGCTCTATCAAAAATTTTAACATAAAGGCCTACTGGAATATAAATTTGTAAATTAAGAACAAAAGGAATGGACAAAATAAAGTAGTAGTATGAATTGTTTTTACAAACTTAAATATATCAATTTACAATTTCTACATTAAAATTTTTAATTATTAAAAAGTAGAAATAAAAGAAAAAAATATAACGTGTTCATGATTTAATGAGCGACAAACACTTTTACTTAAAAAAAAAGAGCAAACTTGTCCAAATGTTATATTTATTATGCTCATTAATTGAATTTTTCAGAGTACATAGCAGAATACAAAAATATACCTGATGTGGAAGCAATGGAGAAAGCAGCTGAGGCATTTATGGCTGACTATTATAAGAAAAAAGAGGAGGTATATATGATACTTTCTAACAAATACAATTTTTAAATACCCATTACTACCTTTATGTGTGACTTTTTGTGGGTAATTTTATGTTTAAATTAAAAGAAAAAAGACAATTTGAAACTTCTGGAAGTTACCCTTTCAAAGCTGATAGTACATGGAGCACATGAAGTAGATTTCACCTATTTGTGCCCTCTGCATATGAACTTGAAGAGATAGTGTAGTCAGCTCCATACCCAGCAGCTTTTACTCTCCCTAATATCAGTTTCTTACTCATCTGAACTTGGTGGACTCAGGAAGTCTGAACTTGACTTTTGGGTTTGCATTTGTGCACTCTACAACTACAATCCAACCACGCTACCAACTTTTGAAGAAATGTTTAAATTGACTTAGGTTGATATGACAAAAACATAACATTGTTGATGGTCTTTTTAGGAAGTCTTTAATAAAAATTTAGTGATGTCTTCTAAATTTCAGGATGAAAAACGAGAGAAAGAACTTGCAGGTGTTCCAGACGAAGAAGGTTTTATAAAAGTGACACGTCATAGTAAAAACAAAGCTGGTAGAAGAACAGAAGAAACAGAAAAGAAAGGTCGTGAACACATACAGAAGAGAAACAAGAAAAATGTAAGACTAAAAATAATTAATAGTATTTAAGTGTCAACTCTATATTAAAATCTGCTTACACAGGGTTGAACTGCGCTCCTATAATTCTAGAGCTCTTGAAAACCTCTTTATTTTTTCTAAGAGCAAAAAGAAGATCCCGGAATTTTTCTTAAAATCACTTAAGATTTCCCGAAATTACAAAAATTGACCTGAAGTTCAAACAATCCAATTTAAACATTAAAATGAGATAACATTTTAAGAATGGACAAGAGAGTATTATCTTGGCCAGGCTAGGCGAGTGTTGATCAGCATCCAGAATGTCATTTTTTTCATATTAGGCCTAAAACATGAACATTTTCTAATGATGAAAAAGAAAGTAATAAAGCATAAAACTACAATTTAAATCTTTTAGTTCAATAAAATGTCCACTATTTTTTATTTCTGTTTTCTACTTTCCCACATCTCATTATCACTGCGAACTTAGATGTCATTGCCTTTGTAAACTTACGGTGACTTCGTTGTGATAACTAGTTTCAGCCATAAATCTGTCATTAGGCAAAAATTATTTAAATAACTGTATTTGTAAGCCATTAAAAAATATCACTAATATTGTAAGAAGCTATGATTTTATATAAAAAAAAATGGTTCTTGGCTCCATGTTATGTGCTTTTGGGGAAAATCAAAACAACACAGACTATCACTAATACTGAATGATCATTTCTATTATTGCTATTTAGCCAACATTGATACTATTTTGAAAATAAATTTCTTGTTAACATTATAACATGTTTCTGTAATTTAGAAAGTAGATCAATCTGATCAATTTCAACTGTTATTTGGGGTGACTGAATTTCATTATTCACTTTAAAAATAAGTTGATTAAATCAAATAATTTAATGGTATTATTAATAAAGATGTTTTTTTTCCGCCATCTAGTACCCTAATGTCCTGAAATATATCTTTTTTCTTATTAAACTTAAACTCCAATTTGTTTTCAGCTTGGGTGCATGAACTCAGTGAGAAATGTTATTCTTGATTAAAAAAATGTAAACTAACGGATTTGACATTCAGAAATTTTTTTTTTTTTCTACTTTAGGAGTTGAAGGACTTCTACACATTTCAATTTAGAGAAACCAAAAGAAAACGTGAGTATCTTAAAATATCAGTCTTTTGTTCTGATCAACTTTAAAATGCATAATTGATCTTGTGTAATCTGTTTTGTTGATTAAACTTTGCATTTCAGTAACTTGTGATTATGCTAGTAGCATGAACTTTCACTTATTGTATTATTTTGCCTTCTTTTTAGATATTATGGAACTGCAAGCAAAGTTTGAAGAAGACAAGAAAAAAGTTCGAGAGATGAAACAAGCCAGAAAATTTAAACCATACTAATGTTAATAACAAATATTATTTTGGCAATTTATTTATGTAATGTAACTTGCTTTATTCTTATTATAAAATATTTAAATATTCTATTTAATCATTTTGTTAAAAAACTTAGAAGAAAATTAAGTTTTATCAAAATGTGATACCCATGATAAACATTGAACTACACTACATACAATTAATTCAACAAAGATCACATATTCAACTTGAAAAGTTAAGAGTGAATATGAGAATTATATACTGATGGCTATAGTGGCAACCTTAAATGATGTCATAATCTTGTTACAAACACAGACCCCCCCCTTCAAATTGCACTTTTTTATTGGAACCACATCTTTGTAAGTGGAATGGTGTGGTTGGATGGTAGAGCATACAACTGATAACTCTAATGTCTTGAGTTTGAATCCCAGGTTTGTGTTAGAAAAATGTCCCAGAGTCTCCACTCAGCTCTGATGGGTACCTGACTGACAGAAAAGCCAAGGCAGCTGGGCGTAGTGTTGAATACACTATCCCTTCATATGCAGAGGACACTGAAACATGTGAACTCTACTTCACCTTTCTCATGGGCCGTCATGTTTTGAAAGGGTGCCTACAACTTTGTAAACTACGAACTGACCTGGGTCAGCATTAGGTGAAAAACTTAACGCATGAATATTACAATTTACAAGAAAGTCTCTAGAAATGCAAAATATCTGCTAAAAAAATAATTGTTCATAAGGTTTTTTTAATCCCTTCATAGACAGTTATGTGACTGGCAGCACTGATATATACAATATCTATAACATGAAACAGTGTAACAATAATATTAATACAAGAAACTTATGTATAACAATTTGATTGCCTAAAATACTATAAACAGTTATTTAAAAAAATAGTTAAATTGGTTCTAATCTAGGGATAGACTGGTGTTCCTGATGTATCAATGAGGCAGATACATTATTTAACTAAAGCATTCTTTAAATTGCTTTATACACAGTTATCATAAAATGTATTAAATGCTGAGTAATTTCAGCAACCAGGGTTTGTTGCTATCAACAATAACCATAATTTCTATATTCCATATTAAAAGACGTGTTCTTAAATCTGCTTAGTTGCTTATCAGTATCATCTTAAAAAAAAATGTAAATAAATACATTTTTAAAACAATTTCAGTAACACTGAGTATGAGAAGATACCATCTTCAAACAACTCACTAATTGTTTTATTTTTTAAAAAGTCAGACAAAACTGGCCTGATTTCGCTTACACCAGCTCAGTGTTCTTCCTCAAGCGTGGTACTCAAGATTTAGTAATTCCAGTAATAAAAATGGCTAGACATTCAGTTTAGAAAAACTGCTATGGTTTGTAATTTTACTGAATTTTTTTTTTGACACAGCCATAATTTAGTGTTGAATGCTGGGTGCCAGAGTCCAACTTGTGAATACCTTGAGCAATCTTTACAAACATTCATCAACATGTTGTTACTGCTGAGTAGTTAATACCCCTAGTAGTTGATTATTTAATACCATTGAGAGAAGTCTGGAATAAAATAATATTTTTTAGATGTTAGCAAAAAATACAGTTTGTAGTTGTTAGCAATAAAAAAAACAACAACTAACTGTTTAAATACTTTAAAGAAAGAAAACAATATAAAAATAGACACCAGTAAAACAAGAGAACCTCACCTATTGTAAGGAAGCTTGTGTTTGGCTAGAGACTCCATTTCTTTTATTTTACCTGGGTAAATTAATAAAATTTTTTTTTATAAGATTTTAATATCTCTAATTAGGTAACAAGTGAACCTTACAATACCAAAAAAGAATTTTTTGAAAAATACCTCTGTCAGCTATGTATGTTCTTGTGTTGGCAGAAACCTGCAATATTTGAGCGAGTCTTTCCAATGCTATAGTACAAGCAGCTTCTTCTTCTACGCTTGGGTTTGGACGAGCCACAACTTGCAGTGTTTGAGCTATGTGAGCTAAATCACTAGCACTGATCAGACCAGGGGACAGGTTGACGTAAGCTGTAAATGCTATGCTTTGGAGGAGTGCTAGATGCAGTTTGTCTAAACAAGCCAACAGTGAATCCACATGAGATTGGCTGATGTGTACATCGGAACTCTTCTTTTTTAATTGGCAACACACAAGTGGTCCCCTAACACACCAGCCTGTTAATCCAGGCACTGGAGTGGTATATGCACTATGAATAGCAGCTTGTCGTAGAGACTCACAGCACATTGTATTGTCTTTATAAACCCATTCACTCACATGCTGAAGTAGAGCCAGAGGAGGTAAACTATCAGGACCTAAAGAACATTTTAAATTATTAAACTTCAAGGGTAACAATATATAATCACAGAGATTCAATGTAATGACATATAATGGAAATAAAATCTAACAATATATAATAATTGAAATAAGTAGCAAATATCAGAAAACCCAGATTAACGTACCATCAGTTTTCTTCAACTCACCTGCAAAAGAATAAAGTGATGTTGCTGCTGTAACAAAGTTGCAAGCAAATAAAGGTGAGACTGATGGCAATGTAGAAAACACACTTGAATGATCTGGAAACAATATGCAATAGTCACTCACTAGACGCTGAGTGAGGCCTTTAACATCTGGACTAAGGCTATCTCGCTCCTGTAAAAGGATATCAAATGAACTATTATTGAGATAAAGAATATTCCTTTGGAAAGTATGATAATAATCAGAATACTTTTAATTTAATTGTAACTGATTAGACATTTAATAATTACTCTTGAGACTAAATAAAATGACCTGCATCCATATAGCTGCACATAGTAAAACAGGTGTGCATCTAACAGACAGAGCAAGGGAGACAAGTTTTGTGAGCAAGTTAACAGTTCCATCTCCATGGGCCCCAAACATTAGATTAAACATTCTGTATTTGCATTTCTCTGGAGCTTCAGAGAAACATGTGCATATCATATCTAACAAATGTAGCTCTTGTACTGCAGTCAGCTTCTGAAATAAAAGCACACTAATTATTATATAGGCCCTACATGGTTTTTAAAATATAAATAGCTTTTAGAAAAAATACAAAGTTTAATTCGAATAAACAAGGAAACAGTTTTAAAAAGTGGCAAATTTACTTTTTGTGGACCTCTCACAGACTTGAATAAAACAAACTCCTGACAAATTTCAACAATGATCTGTTCTGTGTTTGCACTAAGGCCAGGTATTGTTGCACAGTCTTGTGATATAAACGAGGTCAAGAATGAGAGGGCCTCCCTGGTGCAATCAGGAAAATTTAACCGGTATAGGTTGTTTAAAATGTTTCCAGGCATTGTGACTTCTGCAAAATATTTATTCATAGCTAGAATGTTGCAAAAAATATGGGATGATGTATTAATCAAGAGTTTCATTAAGTTTAAATAAATTAAGAATTCCTGATAGACAAAATAAAGCAAAATAAATAATTTTTGAACTTCAGTTATTTAACAACTTTCATTAATCAGTGTAGCAGAAATTGGCAGACCAAGTCAAAGGACAAAAATAGACATGTAAACACCACAATTTACAGTTATTTATATTAGGCGTAGATTAATTTTTCTTTAAAATTGTTTTAAAATGGATGACTAATTAGCAGGCATAATTAATTGATAGGCCGAATAAAATTATGCCTAAGGTATTCTATTTTTAGGTGTGAAATAAAAAAAACAGTCATAAATCTAGCCAAATTATTGGATTCTAGCGCGGCACACATTTTCCCGTGCCTCGTTTTCACCAAAAAAGATTATAATAAAATGGCATTATTGAGAGGTGATCATTTACACAGAACACATCTCATAAAGACCATAAATTATTACCAGTTAGGCCTAATTGTAATGAGTGTAAAATTGATACTTTCAAGTTTTATCTACACATAGTCTGGGTTATTATACACATGGTATTTTAGAGTTATTTCAGTTATTTGATTCGAAAGATAAGAATTTTACAGAGCTACTTTTACTAAGGCGCCGCTTGCGAGACAAAGAAATTAGGTCAAAAGTACATCTGACAATTCTTTAATAACAGACTTAAATAGAAACGGATAGATTCTAGATCTAGTTACAATTTCTAAAATTAACACTGGCTTCGTGTGTTTTGGTTGTGTTTATCTATATATATAATTCTCTTCTGCGAGCTGTTAGAAAACAAGCTGCAAGCGTCTCCTTGCAGTCCCCTCTCTTTCTCTCTATCACTACCACCCTCACCCCACCCCCACATTGTCTGGTGAGCTGTGGTCACACTAAATGTTTACAAAGCTAAATGTTTACAAATCGTAGAGCCGGGTTTCTATTAGGGCAGATAATTTAGTTCGATTTTAAACTTACAGGAGGTAACTAAGAAATAACTAAGAGGAGGCTGCTTTCAAAGGGGGGGGGGGGGGTAGGGTCGGGGTTAGGGGAAAGGGGGGGGGGGGGGGGGGTTAGTGTTTTAAAGCAAATATTTTCAGTGGCAGCATTGGTACTGTCGAATTCACAAATTATGAATTGCTGAAAAGTAGAAAATAAAACAACAAATAGCGGCGTATGATACGCTGCGGGTCGGCTCGTTGGTAATCTATCGTTTTGGGTACGTAAAATCGCACGCGATTTGTAATGTGAAAAACAGGTGACTCCTTAAATTTTAATAATTATTTCACATTTTGAGGAGGATTTATGTATTAAAAAATTCAAAAATGTTTCCTTGATTCATTTATGTACCTGTTTTTAAACAATTGAATTAAAACTTTTCCGTAATAAATGAAGACTAGCGATGTTTCCAACAGATGCAACCATGCTCATTTACTATAGCAGCCATCTTGTCTAAGTTTTATTTTTATAAGCTTTTAGCGCCAGATTCAGGGGGAAGCCACTCTATTTTACAAATGGCTGCTGTTATATAGCAAATCGTGCTCTCAGACACTGCTGTTTAAAGTTAATTTCTGGCCTATATCGATATATTTAGCCATTGATTTAGGTTTATTATTCATTTAATGTCATTTGTTACATTTATCTATAATATTTGACACAAAAGTATGACAATATACTTCTATTAAAGCCTTGACAATGAGGTAACGTTTTCGTACATAAATAGCCGCGGGCGATTTTACGTACCCAAAACGATAGATTACCGGCTCGTTATTATTAATGTTTATAATTATAAATTTATAATAAAATTACGCTCAACCGGAGGTGAACGTGAAGCCGCGAATAAAATACGCTTAAAATGGAGTTTTACCTACAATTACTAACTTGATCAATGACTTAATTTGTGAAAGTCAAGAAAAACAAGCAAACGATTTTTCAATGTAGATCTATTTAACTTTAACTAATTCTAGATCTAATCGTCTAGATCTAGATCTAGATTAGATTCAGTAACCAGTGGCTCGTTAAATTTAGAGTTCCACTGATCTATGGTGTAGCAGATTGTAGCAGTACTAGCAGTCTCGACAGTCGATACATTTTTAATTTTAAAGCCTATTATTTAATATTTAGCCTATTATTAAACAACTTAAATAATAACAGTAATAAATCCAGATTAACGTTAAAGTCTATACACATAAAAATATAATTATAACAACCTATCTTTATATTTAAAGGTATAAGTAAGACCTAACCATAGGCCTGATAGGCTAAATGTTAGATATAAGTCTTCAGTAATTGAATAAATACAATCAAAGAAAATTGTGTAACATGTATCTGGCATTCACTGCTCGGTTTTTGCCAGATAGGCCTAGATCTGTAATTTATCAACTTTTCTGCAATAATAATTTAAGTCGGATAGAACAATAGTTTAATATTTAGGCAGAAAAACAACTTTAACAATAACAATAAAGATTTTCGAATTAATTTGATTGTCTTAACAATAAACCAAGGCCAATCAGCTATTTACCAATTTACCTAACAATTTACAAACATTTAGTTTTAAGTCAGGGGATAACACCTTCATAAAATAAATTACTTTGTGTTTTTAACTATTATGTCCCTTTAAAACAAACATTTTTCTCTCCCCCCTCCCCCCTCCACAATTGAGTTTTGTTATTTATAAATTTCAAAACGCGAAATATTACTTTTTTTTTTAAAGGGATCGCACAATGTATTACAGTTTACTTACTTTTTAAGAATACATAGAATCTTTACATTTTCATAATAAAACAAAAGTACAACAAAACTACTACCACAATTATGGAATAATATTGGCCTACTCGACTAAATTGAACCTTTTATTAAGAGGAGTTTAAAAAGCACATCTTATATACTTTAAGTAATTTACACCCATAGCCACTTATCTGAGAATCATTACGAGATCGTGCACATATTCGGAAAACAAAAATATGTTTAACTCACTGTCTCTGTCGTTCTGTCGTCAGTCTGTCTACATCAAAACGCCCGAGCGAAATTTCAGATACTTTTAACTGACAGATTTATTTAAATGTTGGCACGTGGGTCAAGACATAAGGAAAATGCAACATGACATTAAATTTGACTTCATTGGTTGCCTAATTAATATTTTATGAATTAATTAAACTTGTGTCCAAATTAGTAGGCTGTCTCATCAATATATTCCGTATTTTTATACACGCTCATCACCAGTGTTTCTTCCAGTCTTTTTTCTCCGGGGGGGGGGGGGGGGGAACTTGAAATTTTCGGGGAGGGGGGCGGTAGACTTTCTCCGGGGGGGGGGCACTGTTAAAAGTATATATTTTCTATATAAATTGCATTTCGTTCGGGGGGGGGGGGTAGACTTTTTCCGGGGGGGGGGGGGAGGGTCTCAGCACCCCCCCCCCCCGAAGAGATGCCTGGAAGAAACTCTGGTCATCACGTGCATTAGGTGCGCAAAGGTTTTTAGTCATGCAACTCTATTGTAAATTTAATACATTTTAAGTATTGAAAAAAAAAATCCTTTTATGTTATAATACTCTAAAAAGTAGAAAATACAGCATACACTACTATTTAAATAATTATAAAGAAAAGCGTGGGTCTCTTCTTAAATATTAGTAAAGGTATCCAATAGATACTAAAGTGACACACGCTTCACTTTATGGCTATTTAAATAGTAGTGTATAATTTATTTTCTACTTTTTAGTGCATTATTACCAATCATCTATCCCATTAACATAGCGATTTCATAGGCCACTCGTCCATATTTTATAACGTTCATAAAGCACTACTAACAGAACAGTGAACTACACATTGTCACCTGGAAACATTTATATCAAATAATTGGTATTGCTGCTTATGAACTATACATAGAGTTATTGTAAGCTTTCGAGAAATAAAAACCTTCAATAGGGAGAGACCAGCGAAAAATTAACTCAAGAAATTTAAAAAAAACAACCGATTTAATAAAATCAAAAGTGTTATAAAACATGACCTTTGACCCCCTTTCCATGTAACAAATAATAAAAGCCCACCAGCCAAACCCTTTGGGGTCATCCATAAATGACGTCACGCTTTTTTGGACGATTTTTACCTCCCCCCTCCCCTCCGTCACACGTTGTCACAAAAAGCCAGACCCCCCCCCCCCCATAAAATGACGTCACACCTCAGCCTACAACCCCCCTCAAAATTGCTGTTGAATTTTGCTAACATCGATATTTTGATCAATTCCTATTACAATTATTAAAAACGCTATCTAAAACGCGAAATAACGGCTAAAACTCGTTTTCTAACATTGCCTTTTTATAATGCAAAAATATGACGTCACAACATCTGACCCCCCCCCTCCCCCTCATCACACACCGTCACAAAATTACGGACCCCCCCCTCCCCCCTACGAATGTGACGTCATTTATGGACGACCCCTTTCTGTTATACGATAAGTGCATTATCCCTATATCGCCTAAAGAAAATCAGACAACAAGAAAGAAGCCAACTGCATCACTCCACACACATCTTTATACCGAACACAATAAAAAATATACACACTCTTTTATGACATGTGTGTGTGTGTGGGGGGGGGGGGGGGCAACAGCAAGAAGCTGTAAGCCTAACCCATTCACTGTGTCTAACCGGGCGGATCAGACACGTGGTTCTAAGCAGCCGTTTAAGTGTAGCCTACATTTTAAAAGATTAGCGTCACCGACTTGCATATAAACTAAGCATAGACAATTAATTTCCCTCTAAACGTTTTTAAAAAATGGCTTGAAATTCCGATCTCTGATAACGTAATCTCGTTTTTAACTGTGCAGACACTTCACATATTTTTTTCCCATACTCTCCAAGCCAAAGCTGTTGTTTTTAACTTCTTTTATTTTTATCTTCATTAGTGTTAGACCGAGTAACACACTAATAAACTCGGTCTCCGCCACAGTGCACAGTTTCAAACACTCGCTTCGCAAGCGTAGACCAGCGTAGATGGGTTAGGGCGACAGACGAGAAGGGTAAACGAGAGTTGCCGTTCTTTAATAAAAAAAAAAAAAGGGGGCCCAAGTAGGAAACGTCGCCTGCTGTTTAAATGTTGTTGTTTCGTTTTGACTAGGATAGTCCACTTTCCTCGCTCAACGCGATTTAATGGATTACATTGATACCTGGATTAATGTGTGGATCTATTATTGAATTTTAGTGTGTGCGGTGAAAATACATGTGAGATGGACAGATGTTTTCATGTGGATTTCTACAAGTACAATGGATATAACAAAATAGTTTGTGTATGTTAAATGATAAGTTAGATATTTTATGGATTAACGCAAGATTTTATCAAATACAGGTCGGGATGTTTATTATTTTTCCCAACGGAAAGCTTGGCTGACGTTTTCATTACGGGTTTGAACTCAAACAATTAATTAATAGACACGGTAAGTTTCAGTTGTACATGTAATTTAATTATCCATTCGTTCTCCATAATTGTTAATTGATTCTTCGGTTCCTTTCAAGTTAGGTATTTGGCGAGGCTGTGTGTGTCGTGAACGGAAAAAGTAACAAAAAAAAACCACCAAAAAAACACAGAAAAAAGTCAGATTTTGTCACAGTCACTTTGTGTGTGTGCATGGGGGGGGGGGGGGGGGACAGGGCAGAAGTTGTTGTGATGTGGGTGGGTGGTGAGTAGTTGGGTTGGTAATGATGATGGGGGAAGGGGGCGGGGGATTACTAATGGCAGCTCACTTTATGTTAGACAGACACCGTTGTTGCTTAGTGCATAGGGGTTAGGTTTAGGGCTAAGTAGGCTAAACGGTCAGGTTCAAGTATCAAGCATGACACAGATTCACAACATGAAATTGTTTAGTCTTATGTCTGTTGTGTACTTGAGCGACCAGTGTGAGACAACTCGTGTAACAACTGTACATATATATGTGACAGTGTCGGACACATGTAACAACTCTATGTGCCAGTGTGGGACGTAACAACTGTATATATAAATGACAGTGTGGGACGTAACAACTGTATGTGCCAGTGTGGGACGTAACAACTGTATATATATGACAGTGTGGGACGTAACAACTGTATATATATGTGACAGTGTGGGACGTAACAACTGTATGTGCCAGTGTGGGACGTAACAACTGTATATATATGTGACAATGTGGGACGTAACAACTGTATGTGCCAGTGTGGTACGTAACAACTGTATGTGACAGTGTGGGACGTAACAACTGTATGTGCCAGTGTGGTACGTAACAACTGTATGTGCCAGTGTGGGACGTAACAACTGTATGTGCCAGTGTTGGACACATGTAACAACTGTATGTGCCAGTGTGGGACGTAACAACTGTATGTGCCAGTGTGGGACGTAACAACTGTATGTGCCAGTGTGGGACGTAACAACTGTATGTGACAGTGTGGGACGTAACAACTGTATGTGACAGTGTGGGACGTAACAACTGTATGTGCCAGTGTGGGACGTAACAACTGTATGTGACAGTGTGGGACGTAACAACTGTATGTGACAGTGTGGGACACATGTAACAACTGTATGTGCCAGTGTGGGACGTAACAACTGTATGTGCCAGTGTTGGACACATGTAACAACTGTATGTGCCAGTGTGGGACGTAACAACTGTATGTGCCAGTGTTGGACACATGTAACAACTGTATGTGACAGTGTGGGACGTAACAACTGTATGTGACAGTGTGGGACACATGTAACAACTGTATGTGCCAGTGTGGGACGTAACAACTGTATGTGCCAGTGTTGGACACATGTAACAACTGTATGTGCCAGTGTGGGACGTAACAACTGTATGTGCCAGTGTTGGACACATGTAACAACTGTATGTGTCAGTGTGGGACGTAACAACTGTAGGTGCCAGTGTGGGACGTAACAACTGTATGTGACAGTGTGGGACGTAACAACTGTATGTGCCAGTGTTGGACACATGTAACAACTGTATGTGCCAGTGTGGGACGTAACAACTGTATGTGCCAGTGTTGGACACATGTAACAACTGTAGGTGCTCTAGCTAACGTCGTCCTATGATAATGCTGGGAGCACAACCGATATAAACACTGACTTTCATGCCGGTATTGATTTTTATAACTGACTCTTCGTATCGTTATCTGCTTTCTATATTATGTGGGGGTGGGGGTGGTATGGACAATTATACGCTTACATAATGCGCTTATGTGTGCTAGACTATTACATGCTTACACAATTCACTGAAAGTATTGGGACAATCACATGTTTACAACGGTGCACTAAAGGCGCCTATGACTGCAGACGTATTCCTATATTTAAAAAAAAAGTTCAAACCGTGGTCACATTGACCTTGAACCCTACACAAATGCACAGAGTGTAGCGGTCCTTGACCAAGGTCACAGTGTGGTCATCCCTCCCGCTCTCACTCGTGGTTTGTCGTTACGTTCAGGGTCGTTAAGCCTCAATGGATACAGTGTTTCTTCCAGACTTTTTTCTCCGGGGGGGCACTTGAAATCTTCGGGGGGGGGGGGGGGGGGGGGGGCGGTAAACTTTCTTCGGGGGGCGGACACTGTTAAAAGTATATATTTTCTATATAAATTATATAAATTTCATTTCGTTCGGGGGGGGGGGGGGCGGTAAAAATTTTTCGGGGGGGGGGGGCTTCGCCGAAGAGATGCCTGGAAGAAACTCAGAATGGATATCATGGAGAGGATGGGGGGGGGGACCATACTTATGACGACGGTCTGTGATTAATGTCGGACTACAGGTTTACAATAAAACATGGTTCAAGTTCAGTATTGGCTGAGGCAATGGGCCCCGTTTATTAGTTATTTTGATACATGTTTGAACGATTAAAACATCTGTAAAATATCTTTGTGGAACACATCACCATTCATCGTATTGTTTATCATTCCGCCATGGTCACCAATTCACGAGTAAAATTGTACTTTGTGTTTTGGAGCATCTCAACACACCCCAGCTGTTCCCGTGAGTTCACCTGCACCCACCGACGGGCAAGCAGTGAGAGGCTAATTGCTAAAAGTTTAGCTGTTAAGTTTTTCCTTCATAAAGATACGGAGAAACTTCCCCCAAACGTGCGTAAGCGAAAATTATAATGTAGACCAAGATTATACGACACGGTCATAAATCATGGGAGTCGGTGGCCCAACATTTATTTCTATGTAGCTGTGTCGACAAGTGGAAGGAGGGGGGAGGGGGGGATGTTCCTGAAAGTCACGTGATGGGATACTAGGTTGTAAAGTGTGTTTCATTGTGCTCTTGGAGCAATAACCAGACTTAGCAAGTTTTTAGGTTGTCGGCTGTCTAATTTAGTCTTTGAATGTCTTTGTTGGTTAGGTAATTTAGACGAATATAGGGTGATCTACATGACGAAAAAGACTTGTACTTTAAGAATATAAACCTGACATACACTACAAGAGAAAAGGCAGTATCCAATACACGATTTTCCTATTGCCTAGAGTTTCTATATACAGGCTGATATGAAGGCATATTGCCTAGTTTCTATATACAGGCTTAATGAATGCATATTGCCTAGAGTTAAAACATTAGCCTTGACACCTAGTTCGTGCGTGCAGGCTCGGTGCTAGGCCTTTAGCCTAGAGTTTTTATGGTTCCCAGAAAGAACCGCAACGGAAAAAAGCGCAACGGAAAAAAGCGCAAATCAAAAAGCGCAACGGAAATAAGCGCACACGGAAAAAAGCGCAAAGAGAAAAAAGCGCACACAGAAAAAAGCGCAAAGAGAAAAAAGCGCAAACGGAAAAAAGCGCAAAGAGAAAAAAGCGCACACAGAAAAAAGCGCAAAGAGAAAAAAGCGCAAACGGAAAAAAGCGCAAAGAGTAAAAAGCGCACACGGAAAAAAGCGCAAAGAGAAAAAAGCGCAAACAGAAAAAAGCGCAAAGAGAAAAAAGCGCACACAGAAAAAAGCGCAAAGAGAAAAAAGCGCAAACGGAAAAAAGCGCAAAGAGAAAAAAGCGCAAACGGAAAAAAGCGCAAACAGAAAAAAGCGCACACGGAAAAAAGCGCAAACGGAAAAAAGCGCAAACGGAAAAAAGCGCAAACAGAAAAAAGCGCAAACGGAAAAAAGCGCAAACAGAAAAAAGCGCACACAGAAAAAAGCGCAAACAGAAAAAAGCGCAAACGGAAAAAAGCGCAAACAGAAAAAAGCGCACACAGAAAAAAGCGCAAACGGAAAAAAGCGCAAACAGAAACAGAAAAATGCGCAACCAGAAAAAACACAACGAAAAATGTGCAAAAGAGAAATTTAGCACAAAGACCATATGGACTAGATGACACATTTATACATGACTGTTAGGGCTGCTGTGAGAGTGTCGTGTTTGATCACGTGATCTACTACCATTTAAAGCGTACCACTCACCCACACATCCATCCATCCACCCACCCACACACCCATCCATCCACCCACCCACACATCCATCCACCCACCGACACATCCACCCACCCACCCACCCACACATCCACCCACCCATCCACACATCCACCCACCCATCCACACATCCACCCACACACCCATCCATCCACCCACCCACACATCCACCCACCCATCCACCCACCCATCCACACATCCACCCACCCAACCACACACCCATCCATCCACCCACCCACACATCCATCCACCCACCGACACATCCATCCACCCATCCACACATCCATCCACCCACCCACACATCCATCCACCCACCCACACATCCACCCACCCATCCACACATCCATCCATCTACCCACCGACACATCCACCCACCCATCCACACATCCATCCATCCACCCACCCACACATCCATCCACCCACCCACATATCCATCCACCCACCCACACTGCATATAAGTATTCGCATAGATTTAGAGTAGCGTCCCTTTTGTTTACATGTTTGCATTACCCTTCAAACAAAAGTCTATTTTAGTTATATTGAGATTAAAGAATGTAAATAAATAGTATACACAATTCTGTAGAATAGGAACGATTGGGAGGGAAGTGACATTTAGCGCAGTAAATTTAGAGGTTAGGTAGGGTATAATAAATGGTGGGGTTAGGAAAGTTAAGGGGTCCATTCTCTAATAGGCAATCTTTGTCTCTTTCGTACTTTCGTGTTGGTTTATTGTCGAACCTGTCCTCGCCTCACATCACAACAGTTGGGTGACGCTTACCGTGTAATGTTAAAATAAATAGCATGTAATTGAGTTAGTTCGAAGTGAGTTTTCATACAAGCCCAACGCACTAATTAAGGTTGTCGCAAAATGTAACATATATGTAACATATGTGAATGATGTCAATGAATTTTCATTTAAAAAAAGATGTCTAGTACAGTTTACGAAGCTTACGAACTTCGCCGATACTTTTTTGGTGGGTAGTTTGGTAAGTATGTAGGCGGGTAGGTGGGTAGGTGGGTAAGTGGGTAGGTGGGTA